ATTTTCTTTTGCCAGTTGAGTCTGAATACACTTGAAACGCGAGAGGTTATGAAAATCTCAGAGTTTTATTCTGTTGAATCAGTCATATGATAAGTTACTTTGTGATGTCGAATTTTTGTATAAAAATTTGACAGAATAGAATACACTTTGAGACCAAATGCTTTGCAGGCCATTTCTATGTGTTTTTGCACTTAGATTCCCTGCGTAATATCATAACATTGCCTTTCATTAGCATCTGCACTAATGAAAGGTTTTTCAACTTTGAAAATGTTAAAACCTTTTTAGGAAATAGCACCGTTAAAAGCCATTTAAATGGATTAGCTGATTATTCTAGATAATTTGATTCTAGATGAATTAGCCAAATCTCAGAAAAAAAGTAGACCTCTCTTTTTAAATACAAGTAATAAAATTGCTATATATTATAATATGTTCTTAGTCATAGTATTTTTTATTCAAAACGTAATTATAATGAATTCTTAGTCATAATATTTATCTATTTTTTTAATAAAAATGTTGCATTTGCAATAAGAATTAATGATCTGCATCGAAACTAAATTTTTCAAGCCCGTCCTGACTCGATTTCAAAAAGTTTTGCCGGCCCGACCCGAACCCGAATTTTATTTTAAAAATTTTGTCGGCCCGGTCCAAATTTATTTAAATATAGGAATTCATTTTTATAATTACTCAAAATAAAAGATATACGTTATATCTTGTTTTTATTAAAATTAAATATTTTTATTTTACATAAAAAATTTTACATAAAATTAATATATTTAGATGTATTTAAAAAAATTTCCAAGGCCCGACCCAACCAGGCCAGAATTTTTTTTAAAAATATTAGGTGCGACCTAGCCCGAATTCTATTTCAGAACTCTAATAAGAATAATTTATATTTATGTTTTGTTAACATACTCATTTGTATTAATTATAATTGTTAAATTAGATTTTTTTAAAAAACCATACAAGAATAATTACTCATATTTTATTGTAATTTTATTTTTTTAAATATAGTTATTTACAATAAATTTTTAAAATAATCTGTATAATAATTCTACATTTTTAAATTTATAAAATAAATACATAGTTAAATAAAGGGTTATTTATGCTAATGTATTTTAATAAAAAATAAAATCAAAACTTTAATTAAAATAATTATTTTTAACATAGAATAAGATATATTAATTTATCATAGAAAATGGGAGGATTGGGGGGGGGGGTGATTTTTTTCTTCTTTACCAAATGGATTGAATTAATTTACAATTAACTAAATATTGATAAAATTTTCAGAATAATGCTTTCAGTCGCGTATTATATTAATCATATGTAATAATTCAAAGAAAAAGAATAAGTTTTTTTTATTTTATATTTTATATTTTTACGTTTTAGTTTTATTTATGTTATTTTAGAATAATTTAAATTATCTATATTTTAATAAATTTATATTTATTATTCAATTTTAATCATAATAATCACTAATGTTATAAACATATCGCAGACTCTATGACCTAGTGTAACTCTTAGTTGTTCATTAGTTAAGAAGTTTCCTGTATTTTACTATGGCAACCACTCCTTCCAAAATTAATCATTAGGGAAGAAGATATGGATAAAATCTAGTGGGGTTTTGAAATTAAGGGTAAAATATATTTTTATTTATCATATCTGGAAATGCTGTAAGAATTAAAACATTTCTGCTACATTGCAAGGTCTTGAACAAGATATTAAAGAGTTGCTTAAGTCGAGAAAGGATAAGAGTGACAGAGTACGAGGGGACAATAGGTCGATGCTATCCCTTTTATTAAGAATTTGAGCTAATCTCCAATTGAGTTAAATTGGAGATTAAAAAATTTTCCCTAAAAGGGTTTTAATAAGGACATCAAACGTTTGAAAAATAAAAAGAAGGAGATGTAATATTTTAGGAATATATTAGCATTTTCGAACTATATAGACTTTCTGATAATAATATGATAAAAAATATATGCCTAACCAAGAGGTAATTATAAATTTTGAAGTTTAATATTATTTTAACCCTTAAGTGGAATATTTGAGTATTAATACCTTATTAACGTTAAATAAAGGATATATACATATATATACATCATTATGTTTCATTCACTTAAATGTGATAATATAAATCAGCTAACGACACTCAATTTTGGTTTACTATTAATTGATATCTAATTCTTATTTAGGTTTAATTTTATAAAAATTCCTATATATGGAAAAAGAAAATGGGGTGTGACGACCAGTTTAAAGAATGCGTAAAAGTCAATATGTATTTAACTGGAAAGTTTTCTAGTCTAGGTAAGTATAAGTGACGGAATTTATATAAAAGCAAGAGAATCATTTCTTAACTTGAAATTTTTCTTAAAAATTCTTAAATAAAATTATAAAATTTATATAATCTATATACTATGTTTAAAAAAGTGAATACTAACCTGACAGTTTTAAAAAAATTAATATTTTTTTTACTACGTTAAGGATTTTATATTATTTTTTACTACGTTAAAAAATTAATGTTATTTTTACTATGTTAAAAAAATACATGAGAGAAAATCTAATATTGATTATTTTTTAAAATAAAAAAATAATTATCATCAATATATATTTTTAATGTAAATTTATAATTACTTTACAAATTATAAATATTGGGGGACCAAATATAAAATTATTTTTAAAAAAAATATAGAGAAAATCATGCGAATATATTGTCTAATTTTGCGTTTAAAAAATAAGCATTGGGGGAGAAAATAAAGGAATGCTTATTTTTTTAATAAATAAAAGAAGAAAATTTTTTATATTATTATTTTATCTCTTCTTTTTCTAAATATAAAATTACTTCTTTTTAAAAGAATAAATGAATATAAATATCTAATAATTGCATTTGTATTATTAAAATATCATTTTGCACAAGAAATTTTGATGTGTAGAAATTGATTTTAAAAAGAAGATCAAAACTAATTTTATTAAACTTTAAAAAAGATATCAAAACTTGAACGATTAATTTTTCTATCAATAAAAAAAATATGAGTGGGTAAATAGATGCGAATTTTGTAATTATCTATATTGTTTGCCATGCCTCTTTAAATAAAATTATGCTTGGAATGATAAAAGATTTACGGATATGAATTTTTGAATATAGCTTAACGGCATGAAGAATCAACTATGGTCGCTAATACTATTAAAATTATTTGGCAAAAATTAATTGAAAATACGAAGGATTCGCCTGGCAAAATATCAATAGAAATATCCCTCAAAATAAAGATAAATTCCTCTTATTCATAAATCTTTTAGTAAACTTGATGCTGCGTCATTGATAGTCATAGGGTATAGAAATATTCCAGATATTTTTAAATTGTTACTAAAACGTGATGAAGCTTCAATAAATAAGGAAAATATTACTTTTCATGCAATTTTTCTATTATTTAATATTACTATATACTATATTGTTATGTTTAAGTTTGTTTTTTAAAAAAAAAGAATTTCTTCTTTTTTTTGCGATAAACAAATCCATTTTTAGGAAGACTTTGTATTTGTTTTGCGATGAACAAAACCAGATAAAACCAGTGCGATATTGTTTTTTTTATAAATATGCTACCTTTCGTTTAATTAAGATAGCTTTGTCTTGTCACCTAAATTGTTATCATATTTATCCTTATTTATTTTTTATATAAATAGCGACGTTTTTATTCTTATATTCATTTAATGTCGCAAAAGTTATGATTTTATGGATTATAATTATTAAGCCTTTTATTTTGTTGTTATTGAAACGTTATATATTTTGAAATCCGGCAGTTCATTTTACACCTTCCAAGCCACATATTTTCCTTAATTTTAACGTGTCGAGGTATAATTTAAAAGCTAATTCAAATCCTAGGATGGCTAGGAGGGGCATCTTCGGCCATGCCATGCCAAATCCTGGTTTTCCTTTAATTTTGTTCATCAGGTTTAAATTAGAGATAATATAAACCCAAGGCTTGGGTGCCTCTGAGGTGCGGTTGCCGCCGTTCCTTACCAAAACACTTCTATTTATTTTCTTTTTGAAGATTCTAAGACAATGGTTCGAGTATTATCAAAATAGGGCTCCCAAAGATGCGCACCCTCCCTAATCTTGCTAATACAGCCGATATCCACAGAAATTGAAATATATATAATCTTAAATTAAAAAAATATTCCAATAAATCTTTCTTTTTTTTATTTCTTGGAGCTATTTATCATTACTTTATTGATGGTAATTATATAATGCAGAGGATTTATAAAATTTTTATAAATAATGAAAATAAAATATTAAAAAATAAAACATTTTGCTTCTCTATCTTCTATGTACTAATAAAAACAATATGAAAAAGATTATGATTATATAAAAATATTTTAATACTTTTGAAAAATATTTAAAATTCTTTCCTGAGGCACTCAGCCCTTCTGAAAATTAGAAAAGTTGGCTAAAGATTAATAATAACTAACGAGGGGCTTGGCCACCTGTAGTCCCTCTTGAAATATATTCTTAACTGTCAAGAGATTTGATAAATCATAAGTTTGCCAATCGTCTCGTTTTATAAAATTAGAATTTTCGCCGCTCTTTATTTTTGCTTTAATCCTTTAAATTCAGATTTAATAAAAATAATATTATAATCATGATTTATGAATGGGAAATCTATTAGTTATTTAAATTTAAATTTTTTATTAACTATAAATTATTTAGATTCAAATATTAATATATTACTGAATAACCAGAAAAAGACCAACCTACCAATATGTGAAATTATAAAATATTTGATAATTTGTTTCAAATATTTGTTAAAATTTTAAATATATATTTTTTTGGATATATTGCATAAGCAAATTAATTATTCATCTTGGAAAAGATAATAATTGAGATAATGTTAAAATACAATTCTATTGATTTGGGCAAGTCAGAATACTACAACATCTTAGACAATAAAAAATGTGAAAAAGTTGTTAATATTCAAAATGTTACTCATAAAGAAAATTTTGATGCAAGTTCCAATAACTTAGAGATATTACATCAAGGCAGAAATGAGGAAAAGATTATTATTGAATCAAAATGTGAAGATATCAATATGCAATTAAATGATTTATTACATATTCCAGATAATAAATATATAGTAAAAAATTGTAAGTATTATTATAAATATCTAAGCATAATAGAAATTTTAGACAATACTAAAAAAGAGGAAAACATTGTTATTGAAACCAAATATGAAAATACTAACATACAATCTACTGACTTATTACAAAATTCAGATAATAAACATGTGAAAGAATGTTAGTACTTATTATAAAATACAAATTATTTATTTTATGCGATTATATCAACTTTTATATTTAAATAAACTCTAAGTCGTATATATATGTATTTTAATAATAATATTAAAATTGTTTATAATAATTATATAAAATAAAATTTTATCAGCTCCTAATCCCTTAATACAAGTTCAAGTACCAGTATTAGTAAAAGATAGCAACACTAGAAAAAGTAATTTTTATTATTAATAAAAAATTTACAACAATTTTTTTAAAAATTTATTTGACAATACTCAATTAGAATTTAAATTTAACTAAAATTACATATAGTAAATCTTTTGGGTTTTATGCAAAATCTTACATGATAAAATTACAAATATTTTGAAATATTTTTTTATAAAAAATCCTGAATTTTATCATATCTTTCTATAAGATATTTTGCGTAAAAGGCAAAAAAAATTTCATATTCCATTTATTATTGAAAAAGACATTAATATTTTTTGATATTGTGATTAGTTTAATTTATTATTTATTTGTCTGTTTTTAATTGACAGGTGGAAGATCATACAAACCTTCTCATCTTGTCAAAGAATTATTAAAAGATTTATATTATTCTGGGACCCCTCCTAATAAGAGCTCCATGGCTACTGCTTATCTCTCAAATATAACCAAATTTTCTGATACTTCACACAACAAAGATGACAAATCTATAAGTAACACCACAATTTAAAACTATTTTGAAACAAATTGTCTTAATTCAGTTTTGTAAAAAATAGAGATAATTATATTTTTTTACCAAAATATTAGATATCACCTGATATACAATTATTTTCCCCCTTTTTAAGTGTCATTATAATCTAAATAAAAATAACTTATTTAAGTAATCATTAACAACTTTTTTTCTTAAAGTTAGTTCTACCACTGTTCAAATTTATTTATAAATTGCCATTTCACATTATTAATAAGATATAAAAATATATTAAACGCTCAAAATCTGTCATTCCTAAATACTTATATGTTTTGTATATAAAAACTGTGGGAAGGGGGGAGGTTACATATTTTTAATACTTTACTTAGAAACAAAAAATTATAAGACAAAAAACATGAAATTCTATATATCTTTTTTAATCATATTGTCATGTTTCGATGCCTATCAGTTGTAAGGGGAACATATTTTTTTGAAAATTCACTGTTTGAAATATGACTAGATCTTTTAGAATATAGGGGAATTTTTTTATTAAATCCCAGCTTTTGAGTATTATATTGTACACATTTAAAACAATGATGCCACTGATTTTTGATATATAAAATAATGATATTATATAACAATATGAATTTTAAACCCAGAAGTTGCCGGATTTGATAAAAACGAATTGTCCAATAATTCTCCAACCGCTATAGGCAATCAAAATATGAACGTTTCTTCCTTCATGGCCGAGGTTCTTGCTTCAACTCAGCTACAAAACCAAACTCTATATAGTTCTAGGAGTAATCTAAAATAAAATTATATATTATAAACAAATAATATTTTATTTTAGCTAAAATTTTTGTTTGTTGTTCACTTATAACCCTTGCATAACATCACATTATACGGGAAATACTTCTCTCATTATTTTCTACAAAGTCTATCTTTTTTCATTTAAAAAACTACTTAATAATTTATGGAAATGCCTTATTTTTATTATATTCAATCCTTCTTTTTTTTTTACATTGGGAATATATCTTTTCCAATCAAATAATAATCTTTGTTTAAATGGATACAGCTTGGTGAGATAAGAGATATTCTAAATAATATACTCCCTCCCTCCTCAATTTTTTTACAGAGAACTCCAACAAGACTCCCATAAACGTTCCTCCCAACAATCTCCTACCTCCAGAAGAGACTGCTACCTCTGACCATTCAAATCATGAAATCTCACAAAACAAAGCCCCCACAGGTAATTACGATATTCAGAATGTGATACCCTTTCTTGACGACCAATACTATTGCCCATATAATGACCAAAACATCGTTTGCAATTTCAAAGTGAAACGGAAGTGTCATTTGTTCAGGCACATAGCACATGTTCACAGGGATAAGATCGAGTACCTTGACCCTGATTGTGGTATAACCTTTGTTTTATTAAAATTATTTATCACTATAAACATAAAATTTTTTAAACTTGCTTTTGGTATTAACTATGAATAGCTGTATCTTATTATTACTTGCTAAACTTTTATAAAAGTAAAGTAAAAAGAAAATTAGCCCAAAAAATGACTTTATGGAAAGTGAACAAAACCATTTATTTATTTTTTTTACTAAACTATAAAAAGAAAAAAAAAATATTAATTTTTAGTTATCTTATCGTTATGATAAATATAGCATTTATTATAGAAATAAAATAATAATCAGAAACCTTCAGAGATACCATTTGTATGACCCAAATTTTTTATAAAAATGTTGGCCCAGTCTGGCACGGATTTTTTTTTTTAGAAAACATTCTCTTTGGATCGGATTTTTTTAAAAAATATTTATTTTTAATTTTTATTAATAATAATGGCGATTTAAAATATTCGGCTCGGCTCTTGTATTTAAAAAAAAATTTTTTTTAGGCTCACAACCTATGTATATATAAAAAAATGTAATTCGGCCGGTCCATGTACCCAAGGTCGGGCCTGCAGGTTGAATCGAATTCAAAAACTTAGTTCAATTCGGCAAAACCTTTATCACAAAACATTTTTTAGCACAACTTTGATCACGAATGTCGTTTATCATGAAGGAATTTTAGAATGTAGGTAATATAACGATTTTTTGCAAAAACAATATCGCGAACTCATTATCGTGTATTTATATCCTCAAAACTTAAAACGCCAAAAGTGAATAAACAAAACTTGTATTACTAACCAAAAATAGCAAAACGTTTATTTTGTCTTTATAGGAATTTTACCAAGAATGTATTTGCATAATGTGAGAACATTACCATGAAACAATAAATATTTTGTGAATGCTTTTATTAATAGAAAAACAACATATTTTGATCAGGGCTAACGGGCACGAATGGTGGGGATTTGGAGGGAGGATCATTATGCTTAATAATATTAAAATTTTGAGGGTAAGGGCTGGGGAATTCGGTTTCAAGAATTTTAGTCATCGTTTAGGAATCTGAAATGTTATCAATTAATTCTCAGTTGATTCATACATAATTCACTTATTATACAACTATGTCCAATATTTTAAGACATGGCAGTACTACCACTGTTTTAGTGTTGTTTACCCTTTATAATTTAAAATATGAACAGATTTCTCTGCACCACAAGTGTGACTTTTTTGTCAAATTTAATTTTGAACACATTTCTTCGCACTGTAGGATATTCTTCTAATATATGTTAGGGCACAGTACGAGACCACACCATAATAAAAGTGTGGTTATAACCGAGAACAGGGTTAAGGTGGTGAATTTTTTTTAAAAAAAATACCATAAAAACTCTAATCCAAAATTAGTAATTATAATCAATTTCGCAAAAGTTATAATAAAATTAAAAATAAAATTTTTTTTAATAAAAATTTAGTAAATCAAGTTTTTTTTTCCACTTGCTCTTTATAATAAAATAATGTATATGTCGTAACCTTAATCAGGAGTTTACAATTTGTTTATGATATATTTAAAAAAAACGATAAAATTCTTATCGCATATCGATATTAGTCGAAAATGAAACAAGGGTGATAATCACAAGTTAAAATAAACAATTTTCTTTTAATTGTGTTTACGATATAAAAAACATTTGTTTAATATATGGCTACGAAAAAAACATTATTAATTTTAAAAAAAATTAAATAATAGACAAATATGCCTGAAAACCGGATACAAAGAAAATAATAGAGATCGAAAGGTTGAGATAATAACACTCCTCCTCATTTAGCATTACTCCGGGGTTAAACGGAGTAATTGAAAGGGCTAGTTAAACCACTCATCCAGATGACTATAACGTACTTTTAAATAAACAAAAATAACTTTGGCATAATGGGGTTGATATTATTTACAGTCATAGGGGTATTCCCATTAATTAAAAAAAATGATGAGAAAAAAACGTTTTGTGTCCTGTCGAGGAAGCAACGTTATGGTAATCTACAAAGTACAATCTATTCATGTTCTCAACAATATTTGTCTATTACTTTTTTGAAATTAAGAATGTTTGTTTTTGTGGCCGCGCATATATATATATTTTATAATAATTAGAATGAAATAGATCATCATTAAATTATTAAAGTTAGTACTGAATATTTAAAAATTAATGCTTAACCTTATAATAGAGAATTTAAAATAAATATTTTGAGTTTGAAAATATATTTTCCATATAATGCTCTTATAAAAATTTGGGCCAAGGGCTGGGTAAGGATAAAATAATTTTTAAAAAATCGATTTGGTATGCTGTTGGATTAATAAATCTTTGCCATTCTTTGTTTAATATGTGATTGAATTACCCTTTCACTTCTTTTAGTTAAAATTAATTAAACTACTTTGATATATTTCCAAATTTTTAGATTATTTATCTTTAAACCTTTCTAATATGTATTCTTTGTTTTCCTATCTGTTTCTTCTTCACAATATGACATAAATTTTTAGGAAGACAATCACTGTCGGTATACTAGATATTTATTATATTTTTTATAGAAATTTAATTTAATTTAATAAATTATTTTATTAAATATATATCAATCACAACGATAAAGTTATTAAAAATTTATAACCATATCAACTTGATTTGCAATAATTGTAAATAATCAAAAATATGAATGCGTATATACCTACATTTTATCAATTTTATAGATGAAGAAAAATGATTTATTTTTGATTGATTCCTTTTCATCTATTTAAATATACATCGGAACCGAACTCAAAAATCATAGTAATCGCCCCATTTTTAAAAAAAAAAATGAATTAGACGTTAAATCTTATATCCAAAAAGCCTCTGATGGCCTGTTCTATTGCAAAATGAAGGAATGTTGTTTTATGTCTCGGTCTTCTTTCAACGTAGCCGCACACCTAAGGACGTTACACTGCCGTTGCGGAAGAAACTTCGAGGAAAAGAAGGATAAAAAAGGTTTAATTTCATATAAATATAAATTTGCTATTAAAAATTTTTTTTTAATATATACATCCATCATTATTAGACCTGGTTGCTGATTCACTTCTTTAAGATTACGTTAACGTTTTAAAAAAAATAGAGAATGCATTAAAGAAGTTATTAATGAAAAGATATTTAATTATTACTGTTTTTTGTATAGTATATATTTTTTTAGGCTCCATTTCCTACTCTTATTCTATAAACGGTAGCTTTATTTATTATAAACTGTTTGTTTTTTTGAGATTAAGTATTATAAATAATGTGGTATTTAAGCATCATGTCCTAATTTTTTATCACAATGTCCAAAAATATAAGGTTCCACATTATGTAAATTTCTTTTAGGTATCTGTATATAGATACTTTTTTTCAGTTTTTTTATAAAATATATAGTATTTTATTAAACTTTTTGAATAGTATATTGTATCTGTATCTTAATACTTTATTTTATGAGTATTTTTATTTATATAAAAGTATATAGATACTTTTAAAAAAATCTCTCAATCCCTTTAGTATTACATTAAAAAGTACTTTCTTCCCCCAAAAACATATATAAATTTAATAATATAAAATTATTTTGATTTGAATATCGTTTTTTGTTGCAAATTTCCAATCTGATTTTATATTGGTTGTAGTTACAAATATCCATTATTTGATATTTTTTCTAAACACAAGTACACATTATTATTTTTTTACACTAAAAAAAATGCTTCAAATTCGCACTTCAACCCAATATTAATATTCAGGGAATGAGCTCATCGAATCCACCATAGATTTACAAAATTTGCCAAATTCAAATCCTCAACCAAACATCCTTAAACACGATTCATTATTCCCAAATAAATCCAAAATTAATCATCAGGCAGGTAATCATACTTGTGACAAGAGACACTACATAAAGTGTACGCCAAGGGTTAAATACGTATCCAGGAGAAGAGAAACCGTGTATCCCCTTGCCCGATTCCCACAATTAAACCAAAACAACTTTAATGAACCACCATTAAATCCACAATTCGAGCTTAATAACGTGATTATCAACTCTAAAGAAAATTCTTTTGATTGCCAGAATTTCAATGAGAACTATAAACATCGCCCAATTTTTGGTGGCCTTGGTGAAACGAGTCCCAATGATTTTGATCAAAGCCATGAAAATTTCGATAAAATCACCATTGGAGGAAATATGGACAATGAGAGGGAAAGCTTGGATGATTCAATCTTTTGCAACCTTAGCGCTTTGCCATTATGCGAGAAAGATAAATTGATTTGCGCTTGGAAGAAAGAAAATGGTTTACACTATATTTAAATTCTGACGCTTATATAAGAAAAGAGATGAGAAAATTTTGGATAGACATATTTGATTTTATAGATATTAGTTGATAAAAGGTAATGTCACTCAAGGTTCCGATATGGTCATAAGATAAGAAGTGATTAATGTTGTTAGCGTTATTTTTCAAAAGTAATTAGTTACATTCATAAGTTACTTTGCCTAAAACGTGATAATCACATTAGTATAGTTGCTTAACTTGAAATTTAACTCGATATGGTTACCAAAATATAATTATTTTACATTATAGTTATTATTATATTTAAAAAAAATAAAATCATCTAACATAATAAATGCATTAAAAACCAGTTTAAAAAAAAATAAATTATCATTTTTATTTATGTGTATGCCTATTATCTATCACATTAAAATATTAATTAAATAAAGAAATATTTTGTTATAAAAACTTTAAGCTATTTTTATTTGCAAAAGAATAGTGTTTTTCAAAGCTTTTAAGCACATATTTTTTTCTCCAAGTATCTTCTTTCCTATGCTGGGGCTCTACCTGGGCACTATATATAAGGAATATTATACTTGATGAACAATAGACGGAGAGAGGTAAAATAATCTATCTTCAATGCTATGAGAGTTCGACTATTTTAGCAGCACATAAAAATTAGAATTATCTACAATTAAATTTAGCCAATTGTTTATTAATTATAATTTTAACCATTAAACCTTTTCTTGTTTGGTTGTGGTATTTGTTTGTTTTGAACTGAATTCGAGTTTAATCTGAATCAAATTTCACGCATTTCGCGAGGATGTTGGTTTGAATCAATAGGCGATTTGATATGTTTTCTGGCGGGAATAAAATCACAACCAAAATTAAAATTATTTTTAGCAATATTTTTTTTTTTTTGAAATTTTAAATAATGAAACGCGCATTCATAAAATCCTTATTTATTTTTTTTAATTTAAGATATTATAAAATAAAATGTAATTAGTTACCGGTTAAAGTTCCTTTTTTAAAAATTAATTAGTTATTGTTCCTTTTATAAAAGATGAATCGTTACAATTAAAGTTCCTTTTTCAAAAGGTTGATCGTTCGTTACAGTTAATAACTAGTTCACTGTTAACGCGAGAAGGGACTGAACTTAGATAAGCAGATGATAATTTTTTGAGGTTTTATATATTAGATTTTCATTTTCAACAAACAAAATAAATGAAATAAAAAAAAAGAAACAATTTAATGAATGTAATTTTTAAGATATTAATATACGTGACGAAACTCCCGTTATCTATGAAGTCAATGCCGCAATCAAAAATGGTTACAAAGGTTAAATATTTTTTCAGTATTGATATGTTATGCTTACAAAAATGGCGGTGAGAAAAACAACAAAATTTAAAATTTTATGTAAAATTTATTTTAAAAATCAATGTTAAACGATGAGTTTCTGCAATAAATGATGAAGGGAAATTGAAAGACAAAAGAATTTTTTTTTTGAATAATTCATAGCAAATAAATTCGTATTCAAATACTGTGTTTATATTTTCCAATCCTATCTCTATCTAGTGTTGTTAAAAACCTTGTCAAAATTTAAGTCAGATAAATAAATATCACCTAAGCCTTCCTAATTCTTGAAATGATGGTAGAAAAGTTGGCCCTCTTTTGCGAAATTTGAAGCTTCAATAATATTTATTAGGTAAAAATCTAGATTTAAGCGTTTTTTAAAAATCAGCCAAATCAAGATTTGTCAAAAACACTAGCCCTGCCCATTACTTTTTTTTACATTGACATGATGCGTTATATAATTAATATTAGCTTCCAAAGTCCATCTTCTAAATACCACTACATCAGGGTCGTCGAAACTCAATCGTTTTCCTCTCAAGAGATCTAATTCTTTAGACATCTCTACCGATCGTTACTCTTTCCATGGCATGCCCAAAAATCAGCGAAATATCCCGCTTTCGGCTGTTCCTAGTAAAGAAGAAGCCAGGGCTAACAGTCATAAATCTATAAAGAGAATCTTTGCGCCCCTCATTCACAAAAATAGTCTTATCGGGTTATCCCAAGATCCTACTATCAAAGATTTTGGCTCGCCTAAGCCCTTGGTTGATACAGCTGACCCCTTATCAAAACCCGACAACCTTATCTATAAAAGAGGAAAGTTTATTTTTTTGGCTGAGGATGATTTTCATCAAAATAACCAGTTGTGTAGCAGTTTTGAAGACATTACAGATAAGGACGATGTCAAAATTTTAAAGCCCCATAATGAGAAAGAGAATGACCACATAAATATTTTCGATATTATTAACAGTGCCAATAAGCCCCCCGATAAAAAAGATGTAACCTTTACTAAGGTAGAAAAGAAATCCTCAAAAGTTAAATTAAATGGGTTTCTAACCACGAAAGATAAGGGAATAGTCGCCCAAAACTATCCTCTAAGATTACAGAAAGAGGTACCGACTATTATCGACCAGTCTTGCATAGTAAATTCTGATATCGCTGTTAATCCTAAACGGTTAAAAGATTACAGTAACATCAATAATGGGCATCCCTTGGAAAAACGGAGGGAGATGATCGACTATTCTTGTGCGGAAAACTTTGATGACATTGTTAAGCGTAAAAGGAATAGGGTATACAGATACAGCAGTAATGGTCGTCCTCTAGGAAGACCCAGGAAGATTCCGAGGATTATCTCAGAATTAGACTCCGATAAAGCCGAATATGTATCACTCGATGAGACGAAAAACCTGGTAAAACCTCAAAATTTTATCATTTTAGACGCGCCCCTCAACAGTTACGCCACAGCTCTTGCGTCAACTATAGTAGACATCGATATAGCGGAATATAAAACATCCCATGAGACGGAAAACATGGGAAAACCTCAAAATTTTACCATTTTAGACATATCCCCTAACATTTGTGCCACCGCTCTTGTAGCCTTAATACCATCTCCTACCTCAAAATTCGCGAAAACAATGAATGGTTATATAACAAGAGATCGAAATGCTTATAAGGTATACTCATGCTTCCCTTCTTTTCTTTTGTTCTTGATACAAATGGAATGGAAGATTATTTTATTAGTTGTATTGTAAGTTGGGATAATATTCCAACTCAAGGAATGATCAACTAAAGGAAATTTTTAATTGGATAAAATATATTTAAAACAAACAAGTATCAGAAGTAAGGATTATAATTAAAGGTTAAGAATTATTTTTTTTTATGAGATATGGATTAGGGTTAGGATATATTAAATTTTAATCTATTTTTTTATTAATAACCTGTCAAATTTGACAGTGCATGTGATTATAAATATACGAATAGAAATTTAAATAAATCAGCTGTGCTGCCGGCAGTTTCCTTGAGTTTAACTATAATCGTAATTTGTAGGAATAAGATTAAGTTTAATGTCATTTTCGATGGGGGGGGGGGGGTAGTGTTGTTAAACGGCTCGTTTTGAGCCGATTTTTAAAAACGGCTAACTCACTATTTCATCCAGAATAATTTAACTCAAGCCTGAAGATTTTGTTTGTAGAAGGAACAAAGATTTGGGCATCTATTAGCGAAATCTCAAGGCTTAGGCTATATTTTTCAGGCTACAATATTGAGTTAGCCGTTTTTAAAAATCGGCTCAAAATGAGCCGTTTAACAACACTAGGGGGGGGGGTAGTGGTAGAGATTTTTTATTAATCAATTGTTAGAAGATGAATAATATATTTTCTATGAAAAAATAAAATAACATACTTAAAATTAATGTATAAATGATGACACTTCTTTTACATAGGATGGGTAGGCAAATATATTCTTTTTAAGACTGATACTATGAGATAACAGAAAAGCTTCTCAATTTGTCGATAATATGTCATTTCACATATTATTTTTTTTGTATTAGTATAAGGTTCTAACTCCATTCACTTGAATCAATTTTTATAAAAAATAATTTTTTATAAAAATATTCCATGCTATTCGATTCTTCTTTGTTTAATGGCGGTTTTATAGGTTTACCAGGTAAGCCTGTTCCCCAATTGATCCCTTCTCCTCGTAATCAAATTTTTTGTCTTACATTTCCAGGCTCAGCCCGGGTGGATTTTTTTTAAAATTTTGAGTTCTGCCCTGTTTTTTTAAAAATATATTACATTTATTTTTAATTTTTATAGCTAATAAGGCCGATTAAAATATTCAATTTTAAAATGTACAGTTCTGTCCGGGTATTTTTTTTAAAACAAATTTTTGACCCCGATTTGTTATTTAAAAAATATTTTAGGCCCGGCTTAGGTATATTTAAAAAAATTAAAATAAGGACAGGCTCGTTTACCTGGAGGGCCAGGCCTGCAGGTCTCTAATAATAATCTAGCTATGTTATAAATATTTTGTAAAGCAAAGTCCAATAAATAAATAGAAGTGGTACTTTTATTTTCTGAGATGCTTTACAATTTGGATGAATTACAATCCTATGGCTGTATCATGGTTCGACATTATTTGGACCTAATTGTTTTTTAGTATAGGCCAAAAAGTTTTTGAGCTATACAATCTATTTTGGTTTATTGTAAGTATTTTATTATTTTTCGTATTTTATTTTATTTTTGTTTTTTTTTTCATTAAAATTTTTGTTTTGCTTTTTTTGGCTATTTACTAATATGTTGACCTACCATACGGCATGTTTGTTGAAGATGGTATTATTTTATTAGTCATTAAAACTAAAACAAAATTATTATTCTTTTTATTTTATTCCCTAACACAAGTCTGATTTACCAAGTAATCCATCCGAAAGATCGGCTATCGAATGCTGCCTAAATCTTATGCTCGAATCTGTTTGTGACTCCTTATCCAATAATGAGCGTGCTTTGCCACAGAAGGATGGATTGATACGTACTGAACCTTTACCTATAATTAGCGAAGTTCGCGAATTGTATTTGTTACTTTTTCCCATTTATTTGTCGCTTCACTAAGTTCAAATAAGACGTGTACATATAAATAAGGTGTAATAGCCATCAAGACATAGCTACCTAAACCGAGGATTCATACATTCATTTAAATGTATATCAATTATGAAATCAGGTGGTGATATGCCATTTTTGGTTTCCCATTATAGATAATTTATGTTAAAATTTTTTGAAAAAAGATTTTTAGTTTTCGCGTATTTATAAAAATTGTTATACGGAAAACTAAAATTGCTTGTCACCAGGTGATTTGTTTAGACGACGCTTTAAAAAATATTTTAACGAATGAGTTGTCGGTTTAGGTAATTGTCATTGCTTAACCCTAACCTAATCATATTTCTGAAAATGGTAGAAATTTCGCAAATGATTTATTTTCAAATAAATATTTACTGGGGGGGTGTTTCAGCATTTTTGACTTGTTTTCGTAATTTTGACACTTGGGCGTACTGACCAAGACACCGAAGTTGTATTTAAATTGACTTGTTAAGCTACCGATTAGAGGTGGGCGCGGGCCGTGAAATTAGGCGTAACCCATCGTGTCACGGTAGGTCACGGCGTGAGTGTGAATAAATTTTGAATTCCAAGGCGTGACTGGGCGTGACGGACCTTCCCAAAATTTTCCCCGGGCGTGATCGGGCGTGAACATAAATTTCCCGTGAATCACTAAAATTTTAATTTTTTAAATTGTTTTTTTTATAAATATAAATTTAATTTTATAATTATAAATTTGCAATTTTATAATTATATTATATATTTTCTTTTTTAAAAAAGAATAATTTATGAAAACTAAAAATCTTCCGCATTTTATAAACAACATCCGGTTCATTTAGTTAGTTCTATTTCTTTTTATGTTTAGGTGTTTTTGTCGCGAGACTTTATGCTAAATTTTGCTTACAGAAAAGTCAGTTATATTTTATTTATAAAGATCTACAATCTTTAAACGCAACAGAAAGTGAAGGATTTTACATGCTAAGCCAAGAGATAAATATTGGTGTTACATATGGATAACAAAATATAAAAGTTGTTAACTGGAAAACTCATAAATACTATAGGTCCAAAAATATACGATGAAAATTAAATTTAAAATTAAAAGCATGATAAATAATAATTACTTGTCCATGATCACTGATATTTGGACGGATGACTATAAAGATCTAAGTTTTTTAACCATTATAGGATATATTATCATTAAGGATTTTAAATTAAAAACATTTGTTTTGACCGCCACAAGGGCAATGGATGAAAAAAACATCAAAATAAAAGTGTAATCAATTCAATTTTAGGAGAATATACAGAAGTAGAAAAAACTTAAATAAATGTGTTGTGAGTGATAACGGAGCAAATCTTATAAGTGCATTCAAAGATGACGAAATGCTTGCATGTATATGCCATAAACTAAATAATATTATGCATTATAATTTTGACAATTATTTAACTGAAATAACCATAAATATAAATGGTGTAAAAAAAATAGTACAATATTTCAAACAATCTACAGCTAATATCAAACTAAACCACACCCTTAAACAAGATGTAATAGCGAGAATAACTAGATGGAATTCTGTATATCATGATACAGAGTTTCTTAAAATCTTATTCTGAAATACAGGTGTAATTGTTTAGCAAGCAAGATAGATTAGCCACAATTGATATCAGCATCATACGTGAGTTAGATAAATTTTTATCAATATTTAAAGAATGCTCTAATCTGAGAGCAGATTCTCGTCCAACAATAAATGAAGTTTGTCTATGGAATGGAAACAAAAATTAATAAAATTTTGTTAACCTTCTGAACGTGATACAATAATAATCAAAACTTTAAAATACAGAACAAGATTTCTTTTAAAAGATTATTATGCAGCCACTACATAAGGTGGGCTTAATTCTAGATCCGAATTTCAAAAGACTTAAGTTTTTAATAAAAGAAGAAAATTATATATATAAAACAATCTTAAAAATGAATTAGATGATATGCATAAGTCAATGCCAACTATCATTTATAACTTTCCTAACTTATCCTAAACTCAAAAAACCGTATATTCTAAATGGTCAATACCAACTATCACTTTCCTAATTCATCCCACACTCATAAAAGACTGTTTATTTTAAATAAAAAATTTAGATAATTTTTAGATGATTCTGATGAAGCATCAACATCACCGATGAAAGCTGCGAGGATGAATTTAAAAGATTCATATAAGATAAATAACAAGACAATATTTGGAAGTTTTGGAAGCAGGAATATTGATTTCCTTTTTTGAGAAAATTATCGGAAAGGCGTACACAATTGGAATAAAAAAAAGATGGACATTCTTCTTTTTCTAAATAAATTTCTTGTTATTAATATGGATTATGAAATTAGAGAAATAAATAGAATGAATTCAAAAAAGTGTGAAAGTTTTGAAAAATTTAAAAACACCATGAATTTTGTGACGGGCGTGAATCAAAATATTGCTTGTCGTGAAAGGGCGGGTCGGGTCGAAATTTTTTTAGTGGTAAGCGTGAATGGGGGTGAATATTTTTTATTGCCACCGTGAACGGGCAGGCCGTGAATAAAAAATTAGGCCAGCGCCCACCTCTACTACCGATATCATATCCCAAAGAAGAAAAAAAGAAAGAAAGATACTTTATAAAGTTAATCTTCAATTAATTTATTAACTAGTTGTTTTTTTAACATAATTGTTTATAAAAATTAATTTAGTTATATTTATTCTTTATTAGCACTTATTTTGTCGACGCTTAAGTTTATCCTATTTTTTTATGTTTATAATATAAAAAATGAATGATTAATATAGTTGGGTAATGGCTAATTCGGCTCAATCTACAGACGCATGCCGGAGAAAATCCGTTACCATTAAGGCGTTTAAATATATACTAGTTTCTTTCAAATTAACGCTGCTTTTTTTTAAAGAAAAACCCGAAGTCCAAAGTCATAGCTTTTAGCTTAAAACTCGGTTTAGTCGAACGGCTAAAAATATAGTAATTACCCAGCTATACTAGTTAAGTCACTATTAATATCATTCTTTTTATGACAACAATTTAATTGATATATATCGTATACCATAAAAAATATGTCTTTTAGACAAATAAAGTAAATAAAAATAAAGACAGAAGATAATAGACAAATAACCTCAAAAAAATGTTTATTAATAAAAAATAATAATTATATATACGAGTCATATCATTACTGAACATCAAATCTTTCATGTCTTCTAATATAGACTCCTCGTAAGTGGCGGCAGGAAGTAATAATAACATCCTTTAAATTGGATGTAGTTGTAAGTTTTTTTACCCTCTGGAGTACTCTGGGACTGGGCGATCTACTATCGATAGACGGCATCGTGCGAATAGCGCCACTTCTCTTGCCTGATGAGACCTTCTACACGTAATACAAAACAATGTGGTTTAGGCCACTCATAAACTAACAAGGTATGGAGGACAAAGACATATATGGCACAAGAGTCGCAAACGACGTACCACACACCTCCTACAGGGCTGTGGTTAAACTTGTCAAATGACCAAAGGTATGTTCACATACATGGAACCAGTTTATATGGGATCTAATTGCGGGAAGTCCGGCAGTACGAATAATTTTCCTACTCAAATAGGTTATGAGTGAGGATCATATCAACCTACAATGAACCAGGCAAGGCTTAAATCCCATCGTGCGAGTGGCGGTGCCATGACTACGAAATAAGCCCTCTATCGATAATAGTCCCTAAGCCAGTATGCAGCCCAAATAGTCGGTGTGTAGACAACCAGTCCCCTAATTCAAAGGGCACCTCCATTACCTTCTTCCATCAACCAGTTCGAGACCAGATTATCTGATCGACTTCTTTCTGGTGGTATTTTTTATGGTATAGGTTTATATATTTTTGGACTAGTTTTAATAAATATTATTTAATTATAAGGGGTCCAGAACAAACGCATTTTTGATTTCCTTTTTTCCCCATCAAAAAATAGGACACATTCTAAGTTCAAGAGCTCTCTGGAATATGTTCCTAAAAAATATATATTTTATTTATATGCCAATCAATTATTAAATCTAAGTATTCATATATTTTCTAAAATAATTATCATTTATGAATTTTTATACCAAAAAAACTATTAATAATATTATTTTAATTATTATGTAACAAATTTTATTACAATTTTTATATTATTTTCGAAACTATTTCGGGAACTTACCGAAATCTTCTTTCTCGTTCTATAAATATGCTCAAAATTCTCGAGGTCCCTCTTATATTTATTTTTAGAAGTTGCCCTTTTCAATTTTTTTTAAAGAAAATTTTTCTTTACACAGGAATCGCCCAAATCCTTAGACAATCACACGAATCTTCACCCGTATCTTTTGCTTGAGATACCTGTGAGTTATTATATGTTAAACTTTAAATTAAATAATATATTTTTTTTTAAAGAAACAATACTTATAAGAACCATTTTTTTAAAATTAATCAATTTCTTTTTATAAATTATATTTGGTTTCAAGCAAGATTACGATTTAGACGTACACGGATACCCGCTAAATCAAATATATTACTACCAAAAATATGACAATCACGCGAAGAAATCCCAACGCGATCCTTTGGAACCCACCACATTTACTACAAATTATTTAAATGCTACCGACAAAAACTACCCTGACGACTTTCTTCAAACTTTTCATTGTTTTAAATGCGGAATGACGTTGGATTTGTCGCCACCCAGTATCTCCAACCTTAGCGACGGTAACGCGAAAAATATTGAGCGTAGAACAAATCAGATACGCAAACAAACCGCGAATTTACTACACCCCAGTACACAGTTTCCAACACCCGATGAATTTGAACGTCGACAAAGGACTCCATCTAAAAAAGCAAGCATAGTGTTTTGCGATCTATGCTGTCAATCATACCATTCGTATTGTTTTGAATCATATTATCATGCTTTCAAGGGCATGTCTTTGCCCCCGGAAAATGAAATAGAAAAAACCTCTATTTTAAACGGTTACAATATATGCAGAAACTGTCAGTATTGTTGGGTGTGCTTTAAAAACGAGCCATTCAAGGTTTATATTTATTTTAATTTCTTTGGTATTTTAATTTTTAAAGAAAGTAAGGCAATAACATTTTTCCAGATCTTTAGAAAAGTATTGGTAATGGGTTCTCAAAATAATCTCGGATTTCAGGACATCTGGTTTATGAAGTCAGATATCCGATCGCCTAATATCACACAAGATAAAAATATTTATGTTAATATAGGAGAAAAAATTTAAAAAGTGTTGGGATATTTTTAGATTTTATTTATAAAAATAAAACAAAAAGTTTGTAACCTGCCATACCTGTTACAAATCATATCATTCTCAATGCCTCGGCCCAACTATAACCCAACCAACTGCAACAAACAAAAACACAAGCCAAAACATTACCGATATATGGGTAATAAAAAAGAAAGATAATTCCGTAATCTAATAAAAACACATATTCTTTCTTATTCTATGATTTACCCTATTTATAATTGTAATAATACAGTAATTAATAACTGGAAACATCGATATTAATAAGTTTAAAATATATAATATTTTTTTAAAAATAATTAGGAATGTTCTATTTGTCAAAACAAAGATATAAAAAACTCTAAAGCACAGAATTCACGAGATATTGACACCTTGAAACAAGATTTTACCTCCAATATAGAGTAAATCTATTATTAAATTTTTTTTAAAATTGGTTCAATTATATTGATATTTTAAAATAATAGTGATTATTGCTACCATTAACCACCCGAAGCATCCATTTTAATTTTAATAAATGATATACATACATTAAAATATCGTGTATTAAAATCGACCTCTTGCAATGGTCAGGCTAATTTTTATTTATTTATCTTGTTTTATTGGCGAGGGATTAAGTGCAATTCATAAATTTCTATATCAATCCATCAATCACTTATCTTCTTACCAAAAATATCACCATAGGTTATTGTATCTACTCTATATAAAGTTTAAAACACTTATAAATTCATAAAGTTATCTAAATTTAATTATGTTTAAATATAAATTTGTTGGCCTTTAAAGTTTAGTCAAGGATTCACCCAAACTGGATCATAATTACAGTGCGGAACAACAAATGAATGGTTACAACTTATTCGAATATCTCAAACCTCGTCTATCATGTATAATTTTTTTGTATAATTTTTTGTAAAATTTTTATTCCCCTAATTTTATTTTTAAAGAATAACGATACTATTTTTTTGGCTAATGCAAAACCTGAATGAACTGGAACGCAGAAGCATAGAATATAAAATTGGCAACGTAAAATATGAGCAAAGTTAAGTAATAGAAAAAATTATTTTCGAAAATAAAATAATATATTATAAGAGATCACGAGAGACATTACAAAGATATCTAAACAATTTTATATAAAAAATGAAATCACCACAGATGATCACTTAGGACTACATTAAATATAATATTAAAACGTGAAGAATATTCTACAGACAGACACGACTTAAAAGATCTTACAATTATTCATAGCTTATAATGGAATAAATATCGTAATCGATATTTACATTTTTTGCGTTATGGTCAGATATATAGCGAAACACTAGTTAAAGACGGGCGTACCCTTTTTTTTACCTCAAGAATAGATTTCATAAAATTGAATCTTGAACCAAGAGAAACCCTGATGGATTAGAGAATTCAAGGAATTAGCTCGTAGATGTGAATTTGCACATAATATAGCTACATATTCGTGATCAATCAATTGCTGGGTTACAACTAGATAAAGAATTACAATAAGAAATCCATATACTTGAGACGGAGTAAAGTTTTACCCGATATATATATATATCTACGACGTTTTTGTTATTCTTAACAGCCGTTGACCAGCAAATTGATTTTAATGGAAGTTATCCAAAAAAGATGCGCCTAGGTTTGATAAAAATATATATCCTACCTTTTAGATGCAATATATGAATTTGTAGCCTTTATTTTTTCCTGAAGAAATAATTCTCTTCTTTATAATTTCATTTTGTTATACTTCTTTCTTCTATTATATACAATTAAAATATAATAAACATTTAACTACATTCATCCAATTCTTCCTTGTTCCCGAACTCGCCCATAGGCTCCTGGGGGCATCGCTACCTCAGATGATCCTGCAAATGGTAGTAGTATCACGTCTGCACTGCTCCCCGTCTACGATAGCTTGGACCTTGACTACTTGGGATAATTTTTGCTCGACCCCTATGTGAAATTTCCATCATCATCCCATTTTATATATTAAACCTCGTTTTTTCCAGTAATGTGTTATTTTTTCGACTCTAAATCATTTTTTGAGCGCGGTTTTTTTTTTAAAATTTGAAAATCTGATTTGATCGGAAATATTTTTCAGCATGTTTAGAATACCTATCTTATGAATTGTAGAAATTTTACAATTAACCTTATTTATAATTTATATTAAAAAAATCTATGTAAAAACCAATATAAATAATATTACAAAGGTTTATGGCAAAATTGTCTGAAATTTATAGGGTAAGTATTCCAAAGAGATACATTTTGCATATAATCAGATTTTAAAAATTTAAAATAACTCGCTAAGACAATGATTTAAAGTTAAAAAATAATACCTTGTCACTAACACATATATATATATCCGTACATTATTTCGGCCATTTAATATGGGGCTCGACGCCATAAGCTTTGAATAATTTATTCAAAGCCGTGTCCATCTATGGAATATACTTTACGTTTATGAAGTAATCATTTAAGGTGGTTTCTTTTTTGAATTCGTTTATACATATCTTTGTAATGTCTCCCATTATCTTTTATAATATTTATTTCTTCAATTTTTTTTATTATTCTATCTTTATAATTTTTTAATATATTCTAATAGTTTACTTGGCCCATTTTTTTTACGTCGTCAATTTTATATTCCAAAATATATGGTAAATGGTTTTTTTATTATACTAAATTATTTAATTCAATTGACCTCTCAGATTTGTATTAATTTATAATTATAATTTACAAATAGTTCGTATTACAAATACGATAAAATGACCTTTTAATATTATATTAAATACGATTATTTATAATATATAATACTAGCCATAGTCCATGTTGGTGCATGGGGCACATATTGAGTGGATTTTCCCCTATAGTTGCTCAAGGCTGAGCCATTTATTTGGCGTCAACCTTTACGCCAGGGAGATAGTTTTTAGTTAGAACTAGAGCTGTGCCGATATTAAATACCGGATCGGCACCGATATTTAGCGTTTTCCAAACATTCGGATCGCGCAGATACCTGTGATAATTCGATCCGATCCGATCTACTTTTCTTTTTGTATATTTATTTTACATTAATAATATTTTCTAAATTATTATTTTTTTAAACAATGCAGCACAATATCCCTTAAATTTTATTTATTTTTTAAAATAGATTTATAGTATTTTTAAAGTTTTTTTGTAAAAATAGAAAGAAACACCCAAAGTTTTATTTATTTTAAATCTTTTTAAATAATAACGCCAATTTTATTATTTATACTTTAAATAAAATATTTTTTTATATCTGAATTATAAAAATATTTTACAAAAGACAAAGATAATTTTGCAAAATGCGTTATCTACGGAATTATAATTTCACGGGGAGGAATAATGAAAATTTTATTTAATACTATCAATATCTATAAACTTTTTAAAATTATTCTAGAAATAAAAAGATTAAATTAAATGCATAATTCGATTTTTTGCATAAAAAATATTGATTTCTTAATTACGGTTTATAGGGGTGGTGGTGGTGAAAAATCAATATAAATATCGGATCGGTTTTGAACCAATATCGGATCGGATAGGTGAAAAATGTGTGGATCGTCACAGTCCTAGTTAGAACTCCCGTCTTTGAGATGGTAGTTTCCAGCTAAAACTTCGGGTATGCCCTTTTTGGAATTGGCTTAAATGGACTAAAAAATGAACGGTAACACTAGAATATATATAATTAAATTATAGTTGTTGGCTGCTGGGTTCATATAAAAAATTTTTCCACTCATAGCAACTACCATCAACCAATTTTTCCTATATAAGTTTAGCACACATATGAATTGGTTTATCATACGAACATAAATTTTTGTTTACCTTCAAAATGATCCAAAAAAATTGAATATATATTTGTATACACTAATTAGAGCCAGTTCTGCAACAACTTATCCTAGTCAGAAACTCCCCACCAGCGCTAAAATTTTAAATGATTTTAAAAAATATTATTAAATATAATCGGTAAATGACCTGGAAACGAGCTCGGGCCTAAGTTTTTTATAAATATTTCGGGAGCTCTAAAAAAAATATTTTTCTTATATTTTGAAAGGTAATTTTACGCCTGATTGCATCGTCAATAAATGTTGGTTATGCAACCTAACAGATAGAGATTTCCCGCCAACCGATTTCATTTCCTATCCTAATATGGTATGTTAAAAAGAACCATAAATATATATATGGGTTAAGATAATTTAATTAAACTTGATTTTTTAAAATCCATTTTATAATTTTTTGTTTGTTAAAAAAAACATGTAATAAATTTGAAACAGCGAAATCACGACTTAAATTCTTTGGTGCCTGTAAGCGATTACAATTTACGAACGCGTTGGTTACACTTGGGGTGCATTATGACCTTCGATCTCCTCACCTTTATATCCACCCAAGCCAAGTATCGAGGCAGGAAATACTTATTCTATCGTTCCCTCCTACCCAACATTTACAGAGTCTTGACATCGGTTTTGAATACGATATTATTATCCTTTTTTTTTAAATATTTTTAAAAGTTCAACTAATAGTTTTCTATTTCCGGTCATCATAAAACGAATAACAAAAATTTTATTTTTTTAGAAAAAATCACGCACAAAATAAATTGTTATTAAAACTACAATGTGTCATCAGATTTGATCTTAAAGATTTCACAATATTACTTATGTAATATTTATTTTATCACCTCTATAATTTAGATATGCTCGCTTTGTCGTACAGCTGGTGCCAGTTTAGTTTGCCAATCGATGGATTGCTTTGTTACTTTTCATTTACCTTGCATTTCTAAATATATCAATTATAATCTCCACGACAAGAATACTCGTATTTCCATATATTTTCGACATGGAAAATTTGTAGTGTACTGTCCCAAACATACGGTAAAGTTAATATATTATATCATAAAAGTTAGGATATAATAATATGATTAATGAATATGATGCTAGGAAGAAAGGAAGAAATAAAGATATGATTTAAAAGACAGATTAGATCTTATAGAACACACCAACATATTGAAACATTAATTTTATTAATTATATCCAAATCCAGAAAGTTATGCCCTATCAACATAATTCAAATAGTCCTATTTTCAACGTTAAAGATAATACCGCCCCATCTTTGTTCGATAAAACTTACCCGAGCAAACCCGGGAAACTTACCGACACTCCTAATATCGATGTTACAGTTTTTGCTGATGAAAATGTTGTACAAATTACTAAAAAATTCGGTAAAAATAGGTTCAAGACCGATCACATTAAACCCGAAATGGATGGCCGTGAGGTATATTTTGATAGCTGTCAGAATAGTAATATTGCGAGATCATACCAATTGCCAACCCGTTCATCTTCGAAATTCGTGTTGAGGCCTCGCCACTTGTCCTCTTCTCCTTCGTTAAATGGCAAGTTTTATTACGCTGGATTTACAAATGATATAATTAATATCCCCCACCAATCAGAGATATGTCATGATAATAATAACAACACAAGAGTCACCTATTTTAGTCGCGTTCAAAATGTTTCTCAGAATTATTCCTCAGAAAGGATGCATACGAAAATTTCACATTCTGAGTGTGAAACTGAAATAAATGGTCTTTTACCGGTTATGTCTGCAAAGACCTCAGATGGAGTAATGAATGAAAGTAGTCTGATAGAATCGCCCCGCAAAATATCTCGATTAATTATTGGCTGCCTTCACATAACTAATGTAGGCTCTTCCTTCTCTCCTCCATTCCATGGTATGGAATGCCAGAATATCAACGATTTTGACTCTAGTCTCAAAGGGCAAATTTTACGGGAATTGACTCAGGTTGATGGCGAAGACCACCTTCTACCTCATAATATTACTACGTATCCTGATGGTTTTAGGTAAATCTTTGTTATTTTCTTTTTTTGAAACGTGAGGTATAATGGGAAAATAATATTGCCAACTATTTAAAATAAACGTTTCTTGAATTTTTTTTTAAAAAAGAAAGAAATACATTGTTCCAGTTCAAAATATTATTTCGAAAGATGCCTACCGGTTGAATTTTAAAAATAGGTTCTAGATTTTCCTCCTTTCTTTGAACCCCAGGTTTTTAAAAAAAACGTATAACTTCCAAAAATGACTATCTACTTATCAACCATTTAAATATCGGCAACTCCATTTTTATCAAAAGGTTCTATCTAATATATGAATATCACATTTACCGCCTCTCTTTTAAGCATGCGACTTTTATTTTCATTCGTGCGCACTTTCTTTTAATAAATTCTTCCACAACAATATTTTAAATGAATCCAAGTAAAATTTAGGTTCGCTGAGCTAAAGGGAAAAATCATAACTAGAGTTCGCCTCCTCGCGTTAGTGAATTGCACGAACCGATCGGTCTCGGACAGGTTTTACTCGCACTCGGTCTGATTTGATCCTCGATTTTAGAATTTATTTCGGTCCACGACCAAATTTTTACTATCATCCTTTCAAAGCCTCTAATTTTCCCGATTTCCTTGAAATATCTTATTTTTTCTCGGTAGGCGGCAAAAAATATCCTACTTTGTTTCTAAAAAATTTCGAAGCAGATTGGTCGAACAAAAAAAACTTTACTCTTTTTTCGGATATGGACAAACCCGAATAACTCCGATTCCTCCAGATCTGTTATTCGCCCCGAAGCGCGGAAAAATATTTTAGGCCAAGGTTGAGTCTGAAATTTTTTTTTTATGAAATATAACGTGGAAAATGATGATTTCTTTAGTTTTATTAAAATAAACTGATAATTGTAATATGTTTGTGATAAGGACAAAAAAAATAGTGATTTTTTTTTGTTTCAATTATCTTCATAAAAATCTGTTTTAATTTAAAATCCAAGCCGAGTTCTAACCTAAAATAAAATTCAGGTTCGAACGGGCTACCAGCATATCACTCTTTTGCGACATAGGCATAGCTTCTCGATTTATCCTTATTTAACTGTCAGTATATTTATCTTAAATTAAAAAAAATATATATACTCTCCAAATATACTATTTTTATTTAAAAATTATTTTTAAAGATCATACCGCAAGTTTTGGAGCACTTCTGATCCCGACAAAATTTGTACTTACAAGCTCGAAATAATAAACGCGGCGTTTCTTGTCAATTCTGAAACGCGCGGTAATAGCGTTTATATGACAGCTAATCGCGATGGTCGTGGGGGCGGCTTGGATCTTAACATCGATCTTTCTTTGGTGGACTCTATGGCGGAAGATGACTTATTGTGCCTGGATGTAAACGAGATACCTGTGTTAGACGGTATACTACTATTTTATTGATTTTTGAAATTTTTCTAAGACCATATTGAAGCGTTCTATCATTTAACTAAACATTTGGTGTCATGAAAAATATTAAAAACTATAAATATGTTTATAGCTTTAAATTATACAGGTTAGTTTTAAATATATTATACAGATATCTGTATACTTTAAAATATGGAAATTATTCAGAAATTAGTAACTAATAAAACAGACGATAAATTTTTTAATGGGCACACTCGAAATGTTATCGTAAACACATAACATCATTGCAACAATAAGCAGACGATAAAAATTTCAAATTTTTGTAAATTTTATTGCAACGTTCGATTTTTGGTTTTATATCTTTTAATTTTGCGACTAAACGTTGGAAAGTTCGTATGGTCATTAGCATTCGTTCTGGGAAATTCCAAATGATTTAGATAATAAATGAAATAGAATAATTTAAAATCGATAACATTTTTTTTAGGATATTTTAGAAAATAATTTTCTTTATGACAATATTTTAAAAATATAGACCGATCTCGACAATTATACCTGATATCTAACGATGAAGGCTTGCGGCGGGCGTCTTTTAATCTCGAAGGTAATAATTTTATCTTAAAGAATTTATATAATATACTTTATTTTACATATGATATACTAATTTAATTGGTAGAATATAATAAAAACTTTAAAAAATAAAAACGACATGCGAAAAGATTAAGATTTAAATCATGATCGAAAAATAAACTAAAACCTACGATAAGGGTTGCAGGATAAGAGAGGCAAAATGGCGAAGTTTTAGCGAATATGCAACCTCCTTAACGGTAACAGTGAAAAGAGGCTCTTGAAGAATGGGGGAATTGACAAAAATTAAAAAGAAATAATTTTTGAATCTTTTATTTAATTGTAAAAAAAAATATTTTAAATTATGTCAATAATTTAAAAAAAAAATAAATATGATTTCGAAAAACGTTGGAATAGGTTTAAACCCGGTTCGATAAGTATTTAAAACGGTTCATGTCTCTTCTTTCAAAATAACGTTATATCAGCTATGGTTATGGTTGGAAATTAATAACACTTGATTTCGAGTTTCCAGCTTTGATTGACACTCTTGATTTCATACCTTTTAATAATCGTGCCCTAGACACATTTATAACTAAGAAATTAACATTCATACCCCTCCCTCTGGCATCGCTCCTTTATTGGATTTATCATTTATGCATAAAAAATATATTATTATAAATGAAGGTACCTGGTCCGAAATCCTTACCACGATATTCAACAACAAAGCCTCAAAATATCCAACCCTTTCTCCTCTACCGTACGGAATAAATTGCCCGGCTAAATTATTCGGTTTACGACTTCCTATCGTTCTTCACCTGTTTACACAAATGGACGGGTACCCATTCGATTCGCCTCAGTCGAAAAACGACGCCAAATATATTCTACCTAAATACGTATAAATTGAGAAAAATAATTATTTACAAAAGTTATTTAGTTTAAAATAAATAATGGTAACCATCTTGCTATTTTATAGAGGTTTTTCATAAAATCTCCCCATTTTTTGTTGCCAACATTTACAGGTTTTTCTCCAGCCAGATATGTTAAAATTATCCCTTTACATTAACACGATGCCAAATCAACCAATGATGTGGACACTCATTTTAATTTTACAAGAAATCCATCGACAGCTATGTCCAAGATATCAAAATATTAAATTCGCAAAATAAAGTTTTAATAAAAATGAATATATAAGCTTATTTTAAATATAAAAATAAATACATGTCCAAAACATAATTTTAAATTTATAAATCTCAAAAATTTTACGATTTTATTAAAAATTTATAATCCGCTAAAGTTTTGAAACTTTTCAAATTTTTTAAAAAAAGATTTTGGGCATAGCCTAAAGAGAATTTTGAGAGCTTTCAAAATGTTATACATTATTAGTTTACATTTGAGATTACCAAACTAGATTTACTTCGTAATTATATTTGTAATTTACGATTTATATAAAACTTAGATTGGATCATAAGCAAATGTTACCATATTTTGAAAGGGTTAGACATATATTTCGCTTATTGATACCATTTAAGCTAGATTTAAAAATTATGATAATTATTTAAGTTGGAATCTATAATACGAAATTTCATTCATCTTCAAATATGGCTGTCAAAAGTAATGTTCTTTTATTTAGTAATCATTTATTTTCTTAATTTACACCCTACCTACAGGTCCACAAAATTAAATTATTTAATTTTAATATCAGGGCTGTTCTAGGCTGATTCCTTACCAACGTATACTTAAATTATCGCTCAAAAATCGCGAATTGAAATTCGGCATCAAGTCTTCATCGCATAAACCCGTATTTCCGTCCTTCTTACCCGACGAATTTGGAAATAGCAATTCAGATTTGAACAATGTCTATATTAATAATAATATCTGGTCTAAAAAATGCAATATTAATAGTCTGAAGACATTGGACAGGTACATGTACATGAAAGCAACTTACAGGTCCAGGGTCTATATATCTAGGTTTAAAAATAAATTTTAAATATAAAATACGATTTTGCAAGTTATTTTTAAGCATGACAACTGATTGGACCGTAAGCCGTAAGAATGAAATGAAATACTTAATTAAAATGCTTGCTAAATCTTTTTAGTTAATTTTATTTTTTATTTTGAGAAATGTATCGAATTTTTAAAATTAATTTATTCTAAAATATTATTCTTTTAAAAAGATCGCGAATCCACGAGAAAGGCCTATTTGCCTCGCACGATTTCAGAAGAGGACACATAATTATCGAGTACGTCGGGGAGATTATAAGGAATATTGTGGCGGATAAGCGCGAAGCTCAACAAAATTTTGTCACGAATGGTAAATTTTATAGGATAAATAATTAAAAATAAGGCATTTCTTCCTCAACCAGAATTTAAAAGCTAGAACTAAGGCTGCTTTCATATTGGAGAAAAACATTCCGGCCAATAATCCGCCTAAAGTCAATCTCATTAAAAATGATATAAATATTCATAGTAGTGTACGATTCGATACGACTCGCCTCGAAAATATGTAAATCGGATGTCAATCTCCACCATGAAAGCAGTCTAAAAATGGTTCAGGTTCCTAAAAAAAATTGAACTCTCTTTCCTGATGTTTTTTTCTAAAATGAATCACAATTTCATTTTAAATATACATATAAATTAATTACTTTTCGTACTGGTTCTAGTTCCGGGAAATCTTTAAAGAGATTCTGATGCCATTTCCTATCAATTTTAGGAGATTTATTTCCACTTCCAACCTATTAATATAAAAAAATGGAAATGAATTGTTCTTATTTGAATCTTTTAAACAAATCGGTTCTTATTTGTTTAGTATAATTACGGGTTGTAAATTATTCGTTTCGTTTAAAAGATGAATATTCGAATAATTCATTATTCGATTTGTATTCTTTTATGAATAGACCTCATTATATAATTAAACTTATTTAAATTATAGTAGTAAAAACTAAAAGTCTGGCAAGCTCGTTTGCATGATACGTTTGATCCACGCGGCATAAAAATTGTTCATATTTTTTGGCAAAGGTTTTTTAACTCTAGTAATCTTTCATATTGTGCAACAATTTATTAATGGTTTTTTTCAAATTTAATTTGAACAGTATAGCCAATCTTATCTAATTAACTGGTAATTTGCCCAATCTCTATTAAATTGAGTATTTAAAGCAAAAACAATAAACTTGGTATTGATTGATATGTAGATAATATAAAAAAATCTTAATTTAAAAAGAAATCACTAGTTTAAAAATTGCCCCTAAGGAAAATTAAAATTTCAAATTTAGGTTAATAATTTAAAATTAATTATTTTTTAAAAACGTTTTGAACTCGTTTAAACCGGTTTAAAATATTTATAATAGTTCGGATCGCCCTTTTTATATTTTCTTTAAACGGTTCGGTTACAGTTCAGAAAATTATAACGGTTCATTCTGGTTTGGCGGTTCGGTTCGAAACCCTGATTTTTTATTTTACTAGTTAAATCTTGAACTATGAACGATCGTTTTAGAATTTATTATATTATGTTTTTAAAAATTAAGGTTAACTAAGTCTACATAAAAAATTAATATTTCTCTCTGAATTTTTTTTATATCAGTTTTATTCATTGTTTGTTCTCGTTCGGGTCCATTATATCACTAGCTATTCATGATCCATAAAATCTTTTATTATATAATAATTATCAGAAGCACATCGAACGCCACCTAGCCAAACAATGCCATGCTATCTGTTTAGGCTGAATAAAGACTACATTATCGACGCCAATTCGAGCGGTAACGAATCCCGTTACATTAATCACTCTTGTCAGGTTAAAATTAATGTTTAATTTTTCATTTCAGCATATGAAATATAATGAGTAATGTGTTTTGTATAATATATTTTTTTTCTAATTCTTCATAAGACGAGATGAAAATAATAAAGAGAATTGGTTATAATTAGTTATACCATATGTTCAGAGACTTAGCTAAATTATTCAAATAACGAATATTCAATATTTTATTGATATCTAATAGTGTTATGATTTGAGTCGATTTTTGAAAACGGCTAACTCAATATTTTAACCAGAAAAATATTTCCTAAGCCTCTAGATTTCGCTAATAGATGTACAAAAAACCCATCCTCAGCTTGCATGATATTTGCCTGGATAAAATATTGAGTTAGCCGTTTTTGAAATTCGCCTCATCGAGCCGTTTAACAACAGTAGGATTGAGCTCTTTATTTATTTTTACACTTTTTAATATTATGAAATTAAGAATTTTTTTAATAACGTGCTCATTTTACCTGAAAAAATATTTAAAATACCCGCCTGCCCATTGTTTAAAATTAATTTTTTTTATTTAGCTCATCCAGGCTCATTGGAGACCTATTATCTATATAAATTCATATTTAATATATATTTATATAATTCGTAATATGCATATACAGCCCAACTGTTATTCCAAGATAGTTTTGTGCGCAGGGCGTAGACGAATATTATTTTATGCTTCTGCGTTCATAGCTAAGGGTTGTGAAATAACATATGATTACAAGTTTCCCATCGAAGAAATTGAAGAAGGACAATCAGAGGAGGGTGATAATCATAATTCTCGCATAATTAACAATCTAAAAATAGTCTGTAAATGTGGTTCCAAGGCTTGCTTGGGATTTTTAAATTAACCATTAAGTAAAACATATTAATAATAATGCACATATAATAATATAAATTAAATAATTTTTTTTAAAAATCGTACAATTAATTATTTCATATGATGTAAAAATAATTATGTATCTTGCAAAATTTATCTTCAATCTTTCCATTATGTTATACCTTATATTTTTTTTTAAAATATAATTGTGATAAGAAGTATCTATTAGTTTCCTTTATTGTCAGATATATCAAGTCAAATATTATAACATGTACATTATGTATTTATGTATAATTTTTATATTATTTATATCGATGTTTTATATACAAATTAAAAAAGAATAATAAATCTAACCTACATTTTTTTTGTCTGTGAGAATGACAAACATGAATTTTATATTAATATAATATTCATATTTATATGAGTGTTCGATTAAATCGTTAAATCCAGAGCCAGCCACACAATTACTGCAACATATTTTCCCAGTTCCTGCCCTTCAATTTTTTTAAAATTATTATTCCTCAAGAAAATTAGTTATGAAAAGTTTTTGGTCATTTTTTAAGTAGTACTTTTATGTTGAAAATCAGTTGCACCAGACAAAGTTCAAGTCTAAATTTTTTGCGATAAAACGAACGGAAAATTCTGAGCGAATAAAAGGGAAACGGTAAGTTTAGGTGGGTGTAAGTCCTCAGATCAGGATTTGATTGCAATATTTAATAGTCAATATGTAGATTTTATTCTTCGTCAATTTTAATGAGATAATCGTGCAGAAAAAAAAGCTCGTAAAAGCTATTTGTTATAAAGGAATGAGCCTAAAACCTCGCAACTTGGGAAGAACGAAGTTAATCATAGGTACAGCTTTAGGTGGGAGATGATAGACTTACGACAAATGGCGTATTAGCAAGAAATAAAAGCTATATTTTTTCTTATTTATACGCATTTTCCGAATCGATAAAAAGTTACGAAGTGGTCAAGAAAAGGAATGTATAAATAATATATCGTAAACGAAATTCAATTACCTCAGAATTTATTGCCATCTTTTCAGTAATGTTATACATCATTTTTTTAAATTTTGGTCACTCCAAGTAATTTTAGTTGTTTATTTTTGATATATAAAATAAAAATAAGATGGCAATGAATTAGGAAATTTAGAATGATTGAGAAAATAATAAATATAAAGAAATACATTTTAAATTATATTGTATGTCTTATTTTAAAGGTTACTTGGAAACATTAAAGTTCTTACCTTGTGATGCCTTATTCTATAAAAATGACACACAACAATCCCTAGCAAGCTTCAAATCTACAAACAATTGCTCATTTTTTATATAATTTTTTTTATTGAATTTATGTTAAAATTTATAAATTATATCTTGATATTTTTTTTTAATAAAGAGAGTTTAGAAAAATAAATTACTCTTAATGAGCTCCCATAATTTTCTTCATTAATTTACCTAAATTAATATAATTTTAAAAACTTATGAATCATTTGGAAAATATTTATACCAATTTCTAAAAGACTTCTTGAGATTTTCTTATGGTTCTTTAGGGTTTCTAGAATTACTTCAAACTGGTCAAATTATGTATTTCGGCAAAATTTTTGCCATTAAAATATTCATGAATTTTAACATTTTATTAAAACTTATTTGGTGGCAATTTTTTTTATTTAAAAAAATAATATTCATGTTATATACTAAATTTTTAATATAGTTATTTTTGAGTTGATGATTTAAAAAAAAAGATTAATTCAGATTTTAAAAAAATTTCAAATTTATTTTTAGAATTTGGGAAAAATTGTACAAGCAATACAAATTAATCTAAAGTAAACATAATAATTGGTGTGATTATATGGTGTTGTAATGAAATGTATATAAAAATGGTATGATTAAAAAAGATCTCTTTATTCTATATATTTATTTATAATATGCTTAAAATAAGATAAATAAAAAGAAATATGCATAAAAACTAGACAAATACAATCAACTAAAATACTTTTAGTAAAATTATCAACATTTGTAATTAATCTTCAAAATCAATAACATTAATAATGGGATCCAGAATTGTTAATATAAATATTTTTTATATTTACATCATCATATTTAAATAGCAGATACATTTGCCAGCAAAATGAAACTCCATAGTTAGAATAATTTATATTTACATCATCATATTTAAATAGCAGATACATTTGCCAGCAAAATGAAACTCCATAGTTAGCATACACCATAATCGGGGTATTGAGAAATGTGGTAACACTTTGCATCATTACCCTTTCAGAATTCTTATTTACCTTTTCTATTATATACTGTTGCACATCATCTTTACATGTATTTTGACCTTAAGCATAATCTAATATATTTTTTTTGCAGCATCAGCAAGACCATATGTGATCTAATCAAACCATAGGAGTCTTGTTTTCCTGTACTCTCCATACTTATAGTAATAATTATTTTTTATAAAAAATTAAATGTTACTATCTAAAAATCAATCATGGTTTAAAAAAATAATGTTCTGAATTAATATAGGATATAATCATTAAAATTTAAGGTAAAGAAGGAAACAAAACCATATCCTATGAATATTAGTATAAAAAAATATAACTATAATTTATAAATTATTAACCTATATAATCAGGCAAATTATTTTATGATTTTTAAATTACCAGTAAAAACAATTCCCATTTGGTTCTAATTGTTTCCATCTGTGATGGAACAGTTAGCACCCTTCCTATATTTGGGGGGACTTTCTTTTTTACTTACACTAAATTTTAGAAGCATATTTTCTCTAAATATTGGTAGTTGGTTTATAAAAATGTTTAAATGTATGTTGAATGATTTTTATGATTGTGTCATCTATGGCTTTAAATATTTTAAAAAAAGTAAATTAATCATGATGTTAAGAATTACAATTAACTGTAAATAATTACAATTTTTTAACTTTGAGTCTGAGTGTCCAAAGTCTACCTCTACTAGGTCACTTGAAGATCCTTCAAAAGGTGTAAAGAAATTTTTTTTATTATCTAATTAAAAAGGTTTATAAATTTGTATATATCAAAATTATACCTTTATTAAGAACTAAGAACTATTGCAAACATCATCAAAAAATATTGGGCAATTAACTTCGTTTATTTAATTTTGTAACTTTTTATCGATTCGGAAAATGCGTATAAATAAAAAAAAAAGAACTAAGAACTATTGCGAACATCATCAAAAAATATTGGGCAATTAACTTCGTTTATTTAACTTCGTAACTTTTTATCGATTCGGAAAATGCGTATAAATTAGAAAATAAAGCTTTTATTTCTTGCTAATACGCCATTTGGCGTAAGTCTATCATCTCCCGCTTGAGGTAGTACCTATCAAATTTGTATTTTGTTTATTCTTCATATGGATAGGTACTTCCAAATTTATCTAAGATATATATTTGAAAAATCCTGACTTTTGGAAAGCGTCTTTGGTTTAGTCTGCAAGCGGTTCCCATGCCAATCTTATGGTTCTGGGTTTAAAACCCAGCCTAGATCATGTTTTTTTCTTAATCCAACTTGCTGGTTCAGTCCTTAGGGACTCGGCACGTAATTCCGTTAATATATGCTATTAATAAGGGGTCATTTCGGTATTTAGTAAATTAGTTTGTTATTTAGGTTGACTTGGTAGTATCCATCATTAATAAAAAAGCAAGGTCAAATAGCACTTTATTTTGGATTGATATTAAATTAATAGCTTTCAAAAAATAATTTTATTTCAAAGAGGGAGGAGTAAGCGAAAGGTTCTAAATCGATAAAAATTCGGAAATTTGCTTTACATCTTGAAGTTTTTTAAGTAATATTGAAAAAAATATTACTGGATGATAGAGAAGTAAAATTTTTTAATGAGTGTTTAAAAAAATAAGCAGATATTACTTGAAACAACTTTTGGAATAATGATATTTTCCCTCGTTTCTAGCGATTTTTTAAAAAATCTCAATTTAAATTAAGTATTTACTTTTCTTATAGTAATTTAAACTGTAAAAATTTTCTAAGAGATATAAACTAAACACCCAATTTATTTTTGCTTTTAGCAATTTTGAAGCGAACCCATGAGTAATTGGATTAACAAAGACAGACAAGTTTCTAAAAATGAATGAGAACTTGGAAAGATAAAGATTTTTTATAAGATATTGATAATGTGGAAGTTTCTCTTAAATTATCTGTTAACATGACAGGATTCAACGATCAAGAAGGAACTCCTAATAGCAAAGCTAAGTATTAGATTGTGGTCGGTGATTTGAATCCTAAGATTCTGTGTTGAGGGTTAGAAGAAGCATGGAACACCTAGGATTAGTGATTTTTAATAATGTCCAGAATAAAATTTAATTCAAATTAATATTAACTCGAGATTTAGTAAATAGAGTCTAAACCCTCCTACCATCTATGAGCAAAATGTTCAGACTTATAAAATACTATTTTATCTAAAATCCTAATAGGGTCATTTAACAAAAGTATCTTGGAAGACCAAATTGCAAATAGGATGCTCTATCACCGAAATTAAGTGGGAAAATATGATAAGTTTATAATAGATTATAAAAAGCTGGAACGTAAAAGATTACCTGATAGTAGTAAAATAATTTCTTAAAATCAAATTTTAGATTTTTTTTTATTTTCAATATTTTATTGGATGAAATTCTAAGAGTATGAGATAGTATGTCACATTGATTTTAGTGGAATTAAAAGATTTATGAAGCAGACGACAAGGTCATATGGATTTTTTTACAAGAAAGAATCACTGCATTGCAATGATGATTATATTTTAATAAATTAAAATTGAATCGTGCTTTTAAGTTGCATAATCGTATTCATTATAATTTGAAGTTAGAATAATTTATTGTAAAATTAATTTTAACGAAAATTAAACTTATTAATTAAATCCCCTTAACCTTAAGATGTTTAAATTTTTTGGTACAAGCTCATGATAAGTAACTATTAAACTTGTCATTATTTCATAAACATCTCTTAAACCTTCATTCTTATATTATAATTTTTTAAGCAATTATATGACAAAAAGCTAAACTTTAGATATATTTTCTTTCTACTATAAAAAATGTTTTGTAGAAAATTTAGGTATATTGATTGGATATAATATTACCATTTCTTATTGTAAGCTTTAAGCACATTTGTAACAAATTTGTCAACAAATTATTCAGGAATGAAAAGGAGAAATATATTGCTAACTTATGTTAATTTATATTTATCGGAATATTATATTATATTTAAAGTTATAAACTTGTTTGAAAATTATATACAAGACTGGTGAGAGGTCAGCAAACCCTTAATCACTCATCAATTCAGCCCATGGATTTAGTCAGAATATTATTATTATGTTTGGGATAGGTCTGGAAAAAAAGCATTATTGTTGAAAATATTTTTTAAAATTAATCAGATCAGTGATATCAATTAAACGTGTTATGTATGGAGGGACCTCAAATAATTCACTTAAGTTCTTAATAACTTATTGACTAATGTGCTAAATTTAATTAATGGTTTGATTATATTCTTGATAGTTAAATTTTTTTTCCCAATTTAATAAAAATATATTAAAGAAAAAATGTTTACTTTTATTTTTTGAATATTAAAGTTTTCAAATTTTGATAATTCTTTTTCAAGTTATAGATATGCTCTAAAAAGATTATTATATACAATTACAAGTGTTTTATTTGGGAATACATTATAAACAAAGACCATTTACTGACATATTAATTGTTTTTTTTAGAAGTATATAACTATATTCCAATCATAAATTATTATAATAATAAAAAGGCATTGACAGAGTTGGGACTATAAATTCCCATGTTGGCCTCGATAACCATATTACATAAAATCTTGCATATGATTATAAAAGTGTGTAAAAATGTAGCCAAAAAAAATTTTTGAAAAAAAAAATCCATCCACAGATTTAATATTAAAATTATTATGTACTATTTGATCTCTATTGTTTTGCCTTGGATTTATAAACATATATATGTTTATCATGACCACAAAACGTTTTCATGTGATTTTTATAGCCATTGATAAGATGATACTTGTGTATTGCAGCATTATCTATAATGTTAATTGCATCATTTGGAAGAATTATTATTAATTCTCTAAGATAATTGATAATATTTCAATAAACTGTTAATTTTTAAGGCCCCAAATTTTTATCATACACAAAAGACTGACGTTCTTGCCTTTGGGAGGTGTCTCAGTTGGTGTGACATTGTAGAGGAAGTACATTTTCCAAATTATATTTAGCATTATAAGATAGTAAGTCTGGCGAATAAGGATAACTTCAGATGTATGTCATCGCTCGGGCTCTCCCAGCTATTTTTTTAGACCAACTATACTTCCCTCACTTTTGGGTAAACCTGGAGGCAAATTTTCTGTGATATCTTTGATATATAATAAACGTTTTACCCATTAAAAGATCTATAATCTTTCTTTCGATTTTGTAGGTGTCTTATTTTTGCATCTCTTTTTTTGAATTTGATATTGCTTAAATGCTCCCTCCCCCTATATATTTTGGAAAGGTTTCTTATCCTAATTTCTTTACCTAAGCTATGGACATATCACAATGTTTGACAATATCTTTTGTTTTCTTTTTTTCCCCCCATTTCAGGTTGGCATGACAATTTTGTTATTCGATTTTATACTTATTTCAACAATTATATTTTCTTTTCGGGTTATCAATTAGCGGTGAGTTTAAACGGCTTATTATCGTAAAATTAACACTTATAGCAGATTGCGATAGTGCTAGAATGAAAAAAGATAATTATATAAATAAGCAATTAATATTGATGATGAATTTGAGACAATATTTTTATTATTATATAAAAAAGTTTCTAAAATTATTATTGGTATTATTGGATGAAATATTATTATTGTTATTAAACATCATAAATTTTAAAATTGATTAACAATTACGCCTTTTATTATTATTTTTCTTCCTACACACCTTTAATGCTGTTTAAACATCTCATTAGAGCCGATTTTTAAAAAATAGCCATAAAAATATTGCCTAAACCTCGAAAATTCGCTAATTGTTGTCCTTTGTGTCATCTATCAACAAAATCTTCAAGCTTGTATAATGTTTATCTGCATAAAAAATTGACCAAGCCGTTTTTAAAGATTGGCTCAAATTGAGCTGTTTAACAACACCACACACCAAACGATTAAATTAATCCATTTCCAATAAAAAAAAAAGTCAAATATTTTTTGCTATTTATTTTATTTTTCCAAAAATAAAAGATAAATCGAACATTTTTGATGAATGAATGTTGATAATAAGATAATAAATATTTTAATTTTAATCATTATATAAATGATCTATATCTAGCATTTATTTTAATATTATTATTATTATCATAAATCCCAGTTTGGTAAGTTAGCTAATTCTCTAATGGATTATAATATGATAAGGATCAATTGCAAATTACCCCTGAAAAATGGCATCGAATTTCCTCACTGTGTTCTTTTTCTTGATCCTGTTTATTAATTTGCCTTTATTTTATTTATTTTTGCCAAAATAAAAACGGGAATGATTTTTAACAATAGAAATACTTTTTTTTAAAAAAATAATATTTATCATTTAATTCATATCAACAATATTGTATTTTTTTTTTATCTTTATTATAATATAACAATATTTTTTATTGTCTCGCACAAAATAGAATTTTTTTTAAAAAAACTAAAATGTCAATATTCAATACAAAAAATTAATTTGGACAATTTAATTTTTGTTGTCATCAATATATTTTTATTTATAGAGAAAATTCCATCTGTAAGGGATGCCAAATAGCACCAAGATTATTCTGCTAAGCCTTCATTCACATCTCTTGAGCAGCGTTAAATCAAACCAAAAAATACGCAAAACATTAGGTCGATGCTTAAGTCTCAGCAACGGGGAAAATATATCCGATCTAAAACGATTCTTATTGGAGGTAATAAAAATTATCTTATATCATTTTTATATAATTTATGTGTGAGAGAAGATGACGGGGGGAGGGGGTATGAAGTTGCTTCAATTTTAATAAGATACAATTAGGCTATTTCTTTGCATAAAATTAGGTTCATTTGGAGGAAATTGGAACATAAGTATATTTTCTTCAAAAAAATAGAGCCTAACATAACTCGAGAGGTGGGGAGGGGGAAAATTTAAACGTCCTGAAAGTTTGACCCCCCCCCCCCCCCCCCCCGTAAATACCTCTTTGACTGAGATTTTATGTACATACTAAACGAATACCTTCAAGAAAAAAAAATGTAAAAGATAAACCCATGACTGTACTAAGCTGACGGATTTCGTAAGGGAAACTTTTAACTTTCATTTATTTTTCTTTCATTCCAGCAATCCTAAAAGTTTGAAAACTGGTTTAAATTGGTACCGGTTCTGATATTTGACTCGCTTCCATTCTTGCTCTAAACTCTATTAATAAAGAACAATGTTTAAAAAAATTATCGAAAGATTTACGCATTTAGTTAAGTTAAAGGCTATAAGTTAGAATCATACATAATTTGCATATAAATTAGTTGTACCTTTTGTTAAAATTAGATATATTTTTGTTCCAACAGGTCCTTAAAAATTTAAATAGAGAGAAATGTAACCAGTTACTTTTCATATATATTTATCATTCACTATCTTAAATGATTATTTCCCAAGTTTAAAATTGCTAGTTTATTAATATAATATCTGATTTATATCAAAACGCTCTTGTAAAAAGTTTATTTAATAAGGAAATATTTTCGAAGAAAAATTAGCACACCTCTTAAACCGCCAACCTTGAAAATAGATTATTCTTGATGGAATCTAAGTTAAAATTTAATAAACCCTAATTTTTATTAAAAGTACTAATTACCTATTTTTCTTGTGCAAATAAAAAAATTATAACTAGTACCTTTTAAGAATGTAACTTGTAACAATCTAATTATATTTCAAATTTTACAACATTTATATGGTTTTTTTTAAATGTAAAAAAAAATTAATACTATCATTTTATGGCTGCTTTATAAATGCTCATTACTTTGACTTGAATAGCTTAACCCTTTATTAACAGTTAGTTTTGTATATTTTGCCGCGAATTAACTATGAATGATGGTAACGGATACGTTTTTAGACGGATCGTACCGAATCATATGCTACTATTAATATTTACATAATTTTTAATAAGATTGACTTTTGACGGATTATCGCGGAATCGTATGTCCGTCTGCACCATGAAGGCAACCTAAGTTTCACTGTTTCAATGAATTTTTATTATTACAACCACAGTAAGGAACGTTATCTTGATTTCAGACCCATAGCCAGGAAGCAACAGCTGAGGAGAGATGGGAGGGGGATCAAAAGTTTTTTTGAGGGCCAGTATATTTTTTTTTATAAGCCACTAAAACAATTGGAAGCCGAAATGGGGGTATCTCCCCTTCATGGGTGCATGATTGTATAGACATAACTTTGTACCCCACATGCCTAAAGTTATGTAAAAAGATAAATAAACATAAAAAGAAGAAGAGCTTTAAAAAATTGAAATTAATTTTTGTTTTAAATAGTTTTTGAAGGATTATCAATAAGAAATTGATACTTTTTTATTAAAACAAAAATTGATTAATTTAAATAAAATAAAAAAATGAAGGTAAACTTAAATAAAATTTATATCATTTTATCTAATATCGATTTTTAATTATAGATATCATTAACGAATAAAGATGGCGTATTTTGTTTGTAAAATTGCATTAAAAATAATAATAAAAGAAGCTATCAAGACTTTTTACTTGTAGTAATTACTAGGAATTTAATCGGGGCTCAAAATTTTGGTCAAATTAGAGATTCGCCCAAGTAAGACAGGTTTTTATGTAACTTCAGTATTGGTTCAATTTTTTTAAAAAAATTTTATAAAGGCAAAAAAAAGTGATTATATGTTTGTAATAATTAGATTTTTTTCTTATTTACAATCTGATATCGAGGTCATTCTTATGAATATTTTAATTTTTCTGGACATTTGTTGTATCTTGCATTTTGGAAGCCTTTTTTTTGCGACCTGCTTTATTATCCAATAAATAAAAATTAACTTGCTCTTAACTTAATAATACTATTTATTCTAATCGAATATACAAAATATAGTACAGTTAAGGTTCGGTTAAATATGAGCCTATTTCTCAATAATCGGACACATTCTAATTAGGATTTAATATACTTGTTATAAACTTATCTATCGGAGATTTAACAAATATTTATATCGGTTTTTCTGTTCTTCACACATTTCTCCCCCCCCCCCCTCCCAAATATATGGCTGAAAAAAAAACAAATGCTCATTGAATATTTTTTTCTTTCTCCTTGGATTTTTTAAAAAAAATATTCGTTTTCAGGCCCCGCTCATGATTTTCAAAAGCATATTGGTTCTTGGGTCGGTCCCGATTTTTATTTTTGATGAAAATAAATAATCTTAGCCCGTTCTGGAATTCTTAAAATTTTGCTATTTTTTCAATAATTTTGGCTATGCTTTGCAAGTTGCTTCGAAGAGAAATTAAAGAAAAAAAAATTTTTTCATTATCGGTTATCGGATCTGTGAAAAATTGAATGATAATTTGTGGATCAAATCCTAACCCATTTTACTTTAATTACTATTATCTTTGAATTATAACCAGGGGGACTATCTTTAAATTTTTATCGATAGAAATTATAATCTTTTTTTATTCAGTGTCAAATCATTTAAAAAAAATAACAATTTAACTGAATTGTCAATATTAGTGTTGCGAAAATGACGAATTAGGCTTATGCCTACAAAAAAAAAATCATCCTAACCTTGATGCCGCGAGTTGATTTTTCTCCTGCTTTCCTTGAGATTCAACCATTTTTTTTTATTCAACTAAAAACTCGGTTTATCCATTTAAGGAATCGGATATAAATTAAGCTATTTATCATTTACCCAGAATATACTATATTTTTTTTAAAATAAACTTTTAAATCTGACGAATTGAGTTTTTAATATTGTTTATTTATCCACGTGAAAGCTTGAAAATTAAATTAGTATCTCCGATCCAATGATATATAATACCTAGAATGACGATACATTCATTAAAATGTATTTCGAGGCGTCATTGAATATAAAATACGCCATTTTGGTTTTCATTTTAAAAATTTTTTAAAAAAATATATAAAACTGAATTATTATTTATTTAAAAAAAAATTATCATGAAATTTTGATGTAAATTATTTATAAGGGAAAACCAAAATAATCGTGCCGCCAGCTGATTGATACGTATTGATACGCATTTACACATTAAAATGAATCGTCAGTCGTAAGTACTAAGTAGTAATTTGTCCAATCACGATTAAAGCTTTTAACTCCTTTATACACTTACAAAAAAATTATATCTTATAAGTTCGACGCCGACGCCAAAGAAGGGAGATATTGGTTAAAGTACTTCAAAAATTTTAGTCATACCCAAAGGCCCTTCGCCATCGCTCATCTGGATGATGACGTATTCGAAAGGAAAGATATGGTTATATTTTTTTAAAAATATATATATTCATGTTAGCCGTAATTTTCGGCGTTGAATAATTCGATTGCACAGATACGGAGAGTACAACTATTCGATATATTGATACTATCTCAATGCCTATAAATGGTTAAATTTATTTTAAAAAATTAAAAATTGCCAGGAATTTACCCGCAAAAATGGATTTTAATTTCCCCCCCCCCTCTGTTTGTTAGATTTGTATTTGAGTAACTAGATAAATCGCTCAATGTAACTTAACACTTAACATTAATAAATATAAATAAGAATAAATTAGGAGGTAATATATCGAATTGTATCGGTTTCGACAGATACAAAAATGTTTTACAAATATATTGACCTAGAATCTTAATATCAGACTAACCCTTTTCAGGAGTTTAATTACTGGTCCTCAAAATTTTTCAAATTTTTTTAAAAATCATAATAATTTCACCAACTGTTAAAATCAACGCTTAGAATTGTCATTTAAAAGTGCTATATATATATAGATAGGCTAAATTCTACTATATAATCTGATATCACAATTCAATTATATAAATGATTTAATATATTCATTTTATGGCTAAACTAAAACAAAAAAAAATATGATAGTTAGAGAATCTCAGTTCAAGTCTCTGCTTCTTGCAAAGGAACGGCATGAAATGTATCATAGTACATGGCAAGAGCTTCCCATGCAACAAACCTATCTCATTCCAAGAATTCAACGTAATCTTTCATTTATAATAGTATTTTGAAATTTTAATCATCCAGCCCCAATACTTTTCTTTCTCGGGGGCTATGTGATCTATTCCATAAGTGAATTTTATTTTGAATATAAGAATTTGGGTTATTAGCCCTAATACAACTTATAACTAAACCTTTATAAGATGACGATCACTCAAGGGTGATTATTACAAACATTAATTTCAATCACGATTTTTTCAATCTAGTAAAAAAAAAGAAATAAAAATCGATTTTTTTTCTGATTTAAATATGACTTTAATAATTAGTTTTTTAAAATAAATTCAATAATTTAAAAAAAAACTTATTATAAAGCCAGCCGTTCAAACATCTAATAATATTAAATTATTTATATTCTAAATACTCTGGATGTCTCATAAATCCTGGAACCGATTATATTTATTTCATTCATTTAGTGCAAAAAATGGCCAGCCTTAAAGAAACAATCTGGAATCATTTTTAAATCAATATTTAAAAAGATTCCACATACAATTAAGTTTTAGTCTTTTATTACTGAGTATATTTGGATAGTGAACCAGACGTCAAGAAGTCAAGATAAGTAGATGATCACCTTTGGAGGTTTCACTGATATACACATTATTTAATTTACAATAACAATTTTATATGTCTATAACGAATTTATTCATACATTGGAATGGTTCTTTCTTTTTTAGGCTGTGTTCAAAACATTAAAAAAAATTCGATCCACAAACTTTCCAAATTTTATCAAAAGCAAGAAATAAGCTCTTTTTTAAAAAAATATAAAAATAGAAACATGTTTAAAATTTGCTTCTAGAAAATTGCCAAAATTTAACATGTACGATTTCATTAAAATTTCTGAAAGTTTTGGAACTTTTCAAATTTTTTATAAATGATTTTGTATATGAATATAGCCTTATCAAAGAAAAAAAAGAAGAATTGTTTTAATTTTTTTAAAGATTAGATGAGAATGATAATTCACATGATTGTAATAAGCAAATAACTTTGTTATAATAATTTTTTCTTCCAAATATTTATCAAATATTGATTTATTTAATGGAGCGTTTGTTCATTGTTGATCCAAAAGCCTGTTTACTTTATAATATATAAAATAAACTATCTTGTTTTAAAATCCACACAGAGCAATGACGTAACAACTAGAGTTTTGGGCGGACGAATCACGAATCTGTTCCGACTTAACTCGGGTCGGTAGGGCCCGGAAAAAACTTTCTCTCACACTCGGTCACAGGCATATTCAAAAACGAATTCGTATTTGATCCTTTTGAACTTATAGCTATCATATAAGAATAGTATTTCTTGAACCTCCTTTGATAGAAAAATGTGCGGATATCGTTCGGGCAAAATTTTTTTTATCGATTCGGGTCGGACCTGATAATTTTAGGTTCCGACGCAGGCGTATAGTTTGGGAAAAGGGACATAATATTTAGCTAGGGCCTTTTGAAAAAAAACGAATACTGATCGAATAATTGTTGTGTTTGGACCGATGGGTCCCCCAGTCTGAATGGGAATAATACAGTCCGTGATCGGGGGTCCGGGATGGTCAATGACTGGATCAGGGGGCCGGGTTTTATCTAGTCATAAAATCGCTTGGACAACATAATTTTCAAAGTTTATTCGAATAAGTGAAATTACAACAAAAAAAAAGAAATTCAATTTAAAACGCACGAAAAATAATTAATGAATCAATGGTGTTTTGTTTTCCACCTTTATAATTTTTAAAACAAAAGGAAAAAAAAAGTTGTTATTTAATCGCGATATAATCATTCATGAAACTGGTAAGAACCAGTTTCAAATGCAATATAAAAATAAGGTATAATATATTAATTTCATAACAAAATAAAGGAAGATGGGAAAACAAAAAAAATAGAACATAACAATAATGAATTATTCTTATTTTTGTATACGTCAATCAAATATGAATAATATATTTTATCATTTTCATGCGAAGACCACTTATATTATTCCATTAGTTCAAAAGACTCGCATTATCTCATAATGAAGGCTCGTAATCCACATTTTCTAAAAATCTTCTTTATCTAGCTTCTGCTTGTATATTTATCAGAGACCTGCAGAGGTACCATTTGCACGGCCCGGCCCGGCCCGGTTTTAAATTTTTTAGGCCCGGCCCGGATATTTTTTAAAAAAATTTTTTACGGCCCGGCCCGGATTTAAAAATTTAAACCCGGCCCGGCCCGGATATTTTTAAAAAAAAATTTTTACGACCCGGCCCGGATTTAAAAATTTAAGGCTCGGCCCGGATATTTTTTAAAAAAAAATTTCAGGCCCGGCTCGAAATTTTTTAAAATTATATTCGACCTTATATAAAAATTCACCTATGAGGTATTTTACCATATTTTTCAGCGAGTATTATCGCTTATTATTTAAAAATACATGTAAAAAGCTAATATTTTGAGAATATTATATTGAATTTATAAAAATTATAAAACTGTTATTTATAAAAATGGATATTTTGAGCATATACTATATTTTATATTGCATTTATAAAAATAAAACTAATATTCATAAAAATGGTAATAATATTTTGAGCATATACTATATTTTATATTGCATTTAAAAATAATAAAACTAATATTTAATTTATAAAAATGGAAAATATTTTGAGAATCTAATATATTGTATTTAATTTACTATTTAATTTATAAAATAAAAATAAATCGCTATTTATAAATAGTATTTTGAAAATATAATCTAATAGCACAATATTAATATAATTTATTTTATAATTTAATTTTTTAACAAAAGAAGATAATTGTATTATATAATATTGTAAAAAAAAATAATGAAAAATGTTGGATTAAAAACTTTCATGACTCAAGGTAAATATAATAAATGCAATAAATATTTGACAGTTTGCAAAGTAAAAAACCAGCATGATTGACGAAACCCTATACTCAAGAAAGATATTAAAAATTCACAAATTATCATGAAGAAAGAGAAGCATATCTACTTTTTCAGGTTGAAGATTACTTCTTCTTTTTCCAAGAATTCTCGTTGTGGAAAAATTCCGCTCACAGCTTGCACTTGAAGCAGGAATTGCCAATTTTGCTAAAATTGGAAATTCGTTTTGATGAGCCGCCCACCACTCTATATCCACCTTAAATGTTTCATCTATTTTTTTATTTATGTAATTATAATATTCATCATCGGGTATTGACATATTACTAGAATTACCATCGCCCCATTTGTCATAAAACGATTCAGTTTGTTTAACAACAGTCGTAATTTGACTGGTCGATGGTATTTCATTTACTTCCTGAGCCTCTTGTAATTTAATATAATCTTTTATATAGTTTTCCGTCATCTTGCGATCTGTCCCTGACTATATACGTAATTTCTTGAATTTGGGACAGAGAAAAAGAGAAATAAAATGATACTTGTGTAAAACAAATTTTTCAATTAAAAAATGCTTTATATTAATTAAAATCAATTTTATTTCTCCTTTTTCGCTTTGAAAGGTATTACAAACTTCAAGAAGTGATATTCCTTTATTTGATTGTTTTGGTAAAATATATTCTAAAAATTTAGATATGAATTATAAAAAATTATATTAATAATACTTGAATATTGGGGCTTATTTAAGATATTCCTTTATTTGATTGTTTTGGTAAAATATATGTTGTAAAAATTTAGATATGAATTATAAAAAAATATATTAATACTTTGAATAAATTTGCAGGAAATTAATAATTAGATCGATCTGTTGGGTGTTAGGTAGTGTTAACCATCACCAAATATTATATTAATAACTATAATATAATATAATCTTATAACCATTAACTCATAATGTAAAAATTTTTATAAAAAATATTAAGGCCCGGCCCGGGTTTAACAATCTTAGGCCCGGCCCGGATATATTTTAAAAAATTTTTAGCCCGCCCGGCCCGGCCCGGATATGTTTAAAAAATTTTTTAGGCCCGGCCCGGGTATATTTAAAAAATTTAAAATACGGCCCGGTCCGGGCCGGGTTTAGGGTCGGGCCGGGTTTAGGGTCGGGCCGGGTTTAGGATCGGGCCTGCAGGTCTCTGATATTTATATCCTTACACTAAATCTATTCTTTCATTTTTTTGCTAGTTATCCCTAATTTTCACAATATTCATAAAATCCAAATTAGGCAATCCTAATCTCGCTCCCCCTTCTAAAAAAATAATTCCTGAAAAAAAAACAATGAATATGAAAACATTTAATAAAATTTATATTTGCTCAGAGTCAGATATTAAAAAATGGTATCGATGTCAGAGCGGTGCCAGACCTAGAGAGTTAGAAATATTTGTCTCTTTAATTTGGGTATTGTATAGTAAGCATGATTGTTAGTTGGGGTTTTCTCTACATGTGCAGCAGTCTCCGTTCTTAAAATTATTGGTTAATTTATGCACGACTTCAAGTTTAAAATTGTTTCATTTTTTTAATGATTTTTATAACTGTTATTAATTATTATTTAATTAGAATTGTTTTAGGTATTCATTATGATTAATGTAAGTGAATCTCATTTTTTACCAATATGAAATGAAAATATACATATTTAGTAAAATGTAAGATAACTTATCCAATATTCATGATATTTTTACTTAAGTTTGCAGATAACATTTTCTTTTATAAAGATGATTTATATATAAATAAATGAATAAAAATATTACGAATATTGGATAAGCCTATAATAAAGTAATCGTAACATGAAGACAACATTTTATTATAAATGTTTAATATATAATTTAGTATAAGCTAAATTATTTAAAGTTGACCTCTACAGCTATCTCTCATTATTGTAGATTTGTAGAATGGAAGAAAAATAGATAATTTTGAAATTGAAACATGTATAAAAATTAATCGATAATATTAACACAATTGATGGTTATTGCGCATGTCAGGAAAAGATATTAAAAAATATCCTCTCCTCAACATTCTTAACTACATCTGATTGTTTAAACATGTAAAGCGGCTACGATATTGTCTTGGAAAATAAAAATGGAAAAAATAGAATATATGACTTAAAATGTCTCTAAAGACTTGAAAGAAAGTTATAGTTAATCAAATTTTTGCGCCAACTATTGGACACTATAAGCAATTAAATTAAGACAGGTTTAAGAAATCGATTCCACAAAACTAACTCGTAATAAAGCATCTAATAATAAATATGTGGAAATTTGCGATTAGAAAATTCGAAGAGATTATCAGTGGAAGTTTTACGGAGATGATTTTGAAATGGATCATCTGATTCTCAAATGAAAAATATCTAGGAAATTTGCAATCATTTTTTTTTAGTTGAGGCCATATCCGCAAATAATCAAATAATTTAAATATAAAAATAAAGACATGTCCCAAAGCATAATTCTAGAAAATTTTATAAATTCAAAAATTTAACATACGAAAATTTTAAAAATTTGGGATTAAAAATTTTTTTGAAATTATTTTGGACACAACCAGAAGTAGTAAGCTATTTAAATATAAAAAGAACGAACCATGAAAGAAAATTGTCATTTTAATTTGAGCATGTTTTATATCAATTATTGGTTTTTTTTTGATATCTCATTTATTAACCATTATTTTTTTGCGCCTAGCTGGTTTTTTAAAATATATATATATATATATTAATTCTAAAATTGGCCAATTATCTTTTTTTAAAAAATATTTTTATTTTACTTTTGGATAATATGTAATATTGCTGAGAAAATATATCAATTATTTTTTTTTAGTATTATAAGTTCTCTTTTAGTGGTGCAAAATCGACTCAAGTCGACTTTAAAACAGCCGAGCCGATAAACAGCTTAGCCGAGACGAAAAAGTCGTTTTCGCCTTAGAACTCGAGCCGAAAAAATCCGCTTAAGATTGGTATGAAGGGTGTCATGTCATTAATTATTTTGAGGAACAATATACGCTTAAACATTCTATATTTATATTTAGAGATGTATTTTATCTAATAGGTTTCCATATTTTAGATAAAAGAATACATATGATAATGGTATAATTAAGTGTGAAAGGTGACAATATCATAATAATTTTTTAAAATGTAAATAATGAAATTGGATATATGTATTTTGGTTTAAATAAGCTTTTATAGTAGGCTTGGGTATTAGCCGTTTTTTTATTGTTTGTCATTTGTTACCTTACAATTTTTAAAACACCCACCGAAAAAAAAAGATTAACAGGGAAAGACAAATTAAGAATAGCCTAGAACTTGCTACATCCTTCGAAAACAACAGAACATACTCAAAAATCCTTTTTTCGGGAAGCGGTGTCTTGCGCTCCAATACCCCTCGCCTATCCCAACCTTTACAAAGCTCGCGAACTTCTTCGAAAGATACCATAAAATCGCGATTCTCGAAGTTTTTATCTCATATTAGAAATTTTTTTAAAAAATGTTTAAATCGATATATATTTATAACGTTAATAAATAGAATTTTGTTCGCGGCTGTTCTTGCAAAATTTGCGTACTTTACCTTTTCCTAATTGATGATATGAAAATATTAAACAAAAATAAAAAATTATTTATTGGGAAGGTGTTATTAACCCATTACTGGTTAACGTTGCATAAAACACCACCTCCTATATATCATTTTTAAACATAGTATTTTTTATTTTAAAAAATAATAAAAAAGGTTTTTATATAGTTAAAACATTGTACCTCAAAACTGGAAAAGAAAAATATGAAAAATTTTTTTTTTATGTCCCTAAGAAGCCCTCAAACATGGCGAATTTATGAGGTCTAAAATGCAAAGTCTACTAAGTGATCTCACGAGCATATTATGAAATTATTTTGATGAAAACTAGTGTATATATTTTTTTTATAGATATATCAATATTTATCAATCATTTTTGAAATTTTAAATAATTAAAATTTTAATTGATAACCATATAAAGTTGACTGGTGCATATATGCACCGTTAACCATCTACCAGTATAAATTATTTTAAAAAATTCAAACAAATCAAATTTAACATAATGAATTATAATTTTTTATATTATACTTAAAACTGTTACCATTACTAAGGATGAGGGGGGGGGGGAGTTGGCTCGAGCTCCCTGAAAGTTTTGAAAAAAAATTTTATACCCAAAAAAGGTCTTGAAAATATTTTTGAACCCCCCGAATCGAATAATATATTTCTTTTATAATTTTTTATCTCAACCTAATTATATGAAATTCGCAAATATTCGGTTCATAAATATTCGAAAATCAAAATTATTCGTAAAAATTTTAAATTATTTGTACCCTCTTCCTTGCTGAACATTTTTTTTTCTTATGCACCTGTTTTGTCAATTCAATCAAAATTATCAAAATAATAGATGACTAATTAAAAAATCAAGATTCTATAAAATAAATATTTAATTAAAATTTTTAAGAATCGTTTCTAAAATGACTTAACAAATGACAGAGTTTTACCTTGATACTGCTGGTGAATTGGAGATTCATAATTCAATTGATGACGACATTCCAGAACCATCTGCTACAAGAAGCTATTCTGTAATTTCTCGCCATTTAAAATGGAGAAAACAGATACGTTATATTAATTTCTTTCAATGGGGAAAATGAAGATATAATAAAACTTGAAGACAATTTGCATGGTAAAAATCTATCAGATATATTTTTTAATTTTCGGCGAAGACTTATATTCCCTAATTGTAGATCAAAGTAATATTTATGCAAAACAAATGAATAGGTCTATTAATGTATAACTATCCCAGATATTAAGAGTTATACCTTACAAAACCAAATTATCATAAAATATATTTTGATAATTTCTATACATCAATTAAACTTTTGCCATACTTAAAACAAATGGGATATTTTACAACTGGAACTGTGAGGGATAATAGATTGGAGCATTGCCCAGTTAAATCTATAAATGCTGTAGAAAAAAAAGAAAGAGGATATTATGATAATAGGTTCGAAAAATTAAACGAAATATTTATAGTTCGTTGGAATTATAATACGGTTGTGACGAGTTATTCTAAGAAATTATCTTCTAAAATAAAAATTCCTCAACCAAATATGATCACTGCTTATAACAAACACATAGGTGGAGTTGATCTGTGTGATAATCCCATATCTACTATAGAATAAAAAGAGGGAAAAAAGGGCGGAGGCCAATATCAATTTTATCGATATGTAGCTTTGGTAAATTCGTGGGAAATTTGGAAATTCATGAATCGAGATGAGAAGAAGAGATTGCTTGCATTTAGGCGAGAAGTTACTACTTCCTTTGAACACCAATAAAAATTGAAAAAATTTAATTACAGGTCACGCAAGCCAGTTTGCATAACAGAGCGAAACCCCTACTGATTCATCTGGATATTATTTATCCAAAATCTATAGATGTAAAAGACGTAGATGCAGATATTGCCATACGCACTCAAAATATATGTGCTAAACATGTCAAATCACACTTCATACTAAATGTTTCAAGGATTTTCATAATATATAAACATTTTCTCGTTTTTATTATAAATTACAAAAAAAAGAATAAAGATTTCTATTGTTTTTTGATCTTATAGTATTAAATTTTTATCTTTTTTAACCTCTTAATGGTAACGGTGCAGATATGCACCAGGCTAGATTTTCTATTTAGGATTATTTTTTTCGGCTGATTTTTTTAGAATATCATATTTGAGCATTAATCAATATAATTTGAAAAAATTGGGCATTTTTATCCACTAGAAAAATCTTGACCATTAATGGTTTTGAGATTATACTTAAAAATCTAGAACACTTTTGAAATTATACTTGAAAATCTTTTATTTTTCAAAAACTAAAATCTAACAATCAATCAATAAAAAAAATATATTAATACATTAAAAAAAATCAATATTATTTTCTTTTAAATTAATAACAATAATAATAATATACATATACCTAGAACACCTCCCTTATTTTTAAGAGGCGTTCTCAGGTTACTAACCATATATATAAAAAAAATATTACATTTTATAATATATATTGCTCCTCTTTATTCATTAACTTCATTTATACCCATCTCTGCGAATTCTTGTTGCACTTCTTCAGCTACGTTCATTTTAGTAGAAAAATTGACAGGTCTTTTCCTTTGCAATGCTGGTTTTTTCATGAGTGTCTTACGCACTCCAAAATTTTTCTGATTCATGAGTACTTGCTTAGGCAGGATTACATTAGAACGATCCAGAATTGTGTTAGCACGAGCAAAATTCGAATCATTGACTTTATTTTGGTTATTATCATTATTATTGATAACATAAGTATTGCTGGGACAGTTAGCTGCTTTGTGTCCTTCTGTTCCACAGGCAAAACAAGTCAAACGGAACATAGGTCTGTTGAACAATTGCTGAACACTCATCCTTGATCTATGAAAGGATGGTTGCACATTTATCGTTGGATAACCAAAATAAAGTCAATGATTCGAATTTTGCTCGTGCTAACACAATTCTGGATCGTTCTAATGTAATCCTGCCTAAGCAAGTACTCATGAATCAGAAAAATTTTGGAGTGCGTAAGACACTCATGAAAAAACCAGCATTGCAAAGAAAAAGACCTGTCAATTTTTCTCCTAAAATGAACGTAGCTGAAGAAGTGCAACAAGAATTCTCAGAGATGGGTATAAATGTAGTTAATGAATAAAGAGGAGCAATATGTATTATAAAATGTAATATTTTTTTTATATATATGTTTAGTAACCTGAGAACGCCTCTTAAAAATAAGGGAGGTGTTCTAGGTATATGTATATTATTATTATTGTTATTAATTTAAAAGAAAATAATATTGATTTTTTTTTTAATGTATTAATATATTTTTTTTATTGATTGATTGTTAGATTTTAGTTTTTGAAAAATAAAAGATTTTTAAGTATAATCTCAAAAGTGTTCTAGATTTTTAAGTATAATCTCAAAAAATGGGTTAAGGAGGGATCATCTCCTCGGATCTTTGCTTTTAGAAGGTTAGCCCTAAGTGGATCTTAGCTTCATAAGCTTGAATTATAGGATTAAGGGATTTGTAGATGTGCCACGTGTTTGTAAAAAATTTTAAAGAAAAATTTCACTAATTCGCCATTTTAAATAACGCGTATAATTTTATTTTACTACTCTAGGAACGGAGAAGATTATAGAGGTGAACTGACGGATATTAATTATCAAATCATTGAATGGGCCCTCAAGTATCATTTAGTGAAAATTATAATGAACTTTTTTTTTACAGAATATAGATTTTTTAATCCTTGCAATGATTTCAAAACCATTCAAAATGTTCTATAGGCATACTATTAAGATTTTTTTAAAAGAATTTTATAACCTCGCAATCTTTTAAATCCATTCTAAAGAGTAATAATGTCCTACCACAAAAGAAAGAAAGAAAAAGAATAATAGCCGAATATATTAAATTTTAATACTAAACATGAATGAATTGAGTGTAGATTGTTGGTAATTTTTTTAATTTATGAAATTTTTATATTAACTTAATATGTTATATTAATATATTTTTAACTGGTTATTTGATTGTTGTTATCAAAAAAGATCCGATAGTATTCCTATATTGGGAACCTTGGCAGAAACTCCGTCTGGGAAACTCGTGTTAACCCAATCCGATACCGTGCTCGATAGGATGAGTTTACATTTTCAACCCCTCAAAATTTTATTGTTGAATAGCACTGGGGGTTTAGTCGATGCCAGTCAAGATAAAAATTCTAGTAATAATCAGGTATATTTTTTCTTTCTAATCTATCATGTATATTATTATTTTTTAAATGAAGCAAAATGTATATTTTATAAAGCGACTTTATGTAATATAAAGCTTTCTGAGATTTATTTATTACCCTCTCTATCTTTATCCCACATTAATTGAATTCGATTCGAGAAAATATAATAAAGAAATTGTAGTTACTTAGATAGACATATAACCCTAATGGCATAGAAAATGACTGTTCAATTTTTCAAAAGTGTACAAGGGCATGGTAAAGCATGAGCAAAAAAAGATATATTTTTGGAAATATCATCGAATTATCTCTCAGTATACTCAATAATAAATTTTTCCCAATAAGGGATATAAATGTTTAGATGGCAACTTATGATATTCATAAAAATAATAATTTAGTAAATAAAATTGAATAAATAAGGGGATTGGCACTCATTACGTTCTCCGATGGAAAATCTGTGGAATTATGATCATGCAAAGGTAGATATTTGAAAATGAATATCAATAATAGCAGAAGATATATAAATATAGTTGCCAGATACTCATCAACACTTAATTAACGAACCGGGACTCTCTTAATCCTAATTTTCTATAACATTGGCTTCGTTACTTTGAGAAATAGCTTTTCAGGGTAGCAATTGTGTTTTTATTATTGTATATTTTTTTTAAAATGTTTATTTTTGAAAAAATTTAGAAATAGCGAAAATATCATTAATTTCTGGTCATTTCTTACGAAATAATATTATTATCCAAGTTTTACTATAATATTTTTTTTTTTAAAAAAAGGGTAGAAAGAAATTTTTATATCGTCTTATCATGCATTTTGTCACGAACTCTCATTGTTGTATTTTGCGAAATTTTCATTTGATCAAATACTTATTTTGCATCGGGTATTTGTCGTTTTTGTTATTTTTTTTCTAAGCTTGATTTCATATTACATTTCTTGGTAACTGTTTTTGAACAATGTTGGCTGTTATTGGTGGTTTTCATTTTTCTAGTTAAGGTCTAGATCATATAACATGCAGAAGGAAATTTCTATTACATTAAATACGATGATGAGAGATAATTATATTACATGACGACAAAAAATAAGTTCTAAAATCTCAAATCCTCAACATCCAATTATATTACATAGAAAAGAAAGAAAAAGGTATAAAGAATTCGAAGATCATGATGATTAAATTTACATTTTACACATTTTTATTGATTGATTCGATTCATATTATTTATTAGTCATTTTAAGGTTTCCTTAAAAATAAAAATATAATCCTACAGGTAGTGATTCCCCAAATCAATTTGCCTTCCGACTTAGAATCAACTCTCAATTTATCGAACCTAGACGATATAACTCGCAAAAGGGTAAATTAATTCCATAAAAAAAAGACTTCTTTGATCTTAAATTATTATTTTTTTCCCCACTCTTTTCTCTTCCACTAATTTTTTTTATTAATTATCAGCTCGAGACGAGGGGAAGGGATTGGGAATTAGTATCTTAACCACAGCTTATATCTTCTTATAATTAAACCCTAATCTTGAATAAGTGTTTCGGATAATTTATATAACCCGAGTTCTTGGTTTGATCTGATCCTTCTTTCCGTGGAAGAAATGAATGGGACACCCTGATCAAACCAACACTCAATCTAAAATTATGTTCTACCCCCGTCCATTGACATTAGTGAAAATTCAAATTTACTTATTTAATTAATTAATTAATTTTTTATTTAATAAAAATGTATTAAATTTAATGATTTTTTATAAATTGGACAATTATTTATTACTTAATTTAAAAAAAAAATTAATTATAAAGAATTTATATGTATTCAAAAAAAAATTATTCTATATCTTGAAAATCTCTGTCCGCTACTCTAAGATTACTATAATGATTCGCACTTGTGATGTAATATAATATATCCATCAACTTTTTTTCCAAATTACTTGTTTTTAAAAAAATTAAGAAGTCTAACTATTGTATTCACATATTTTTATATTATTTTTATATGTAAATAGTTTCTTTAAACAGATGTATTAACTTGGAAAGAGCTATTTTGATTATTATTATCATTATTATACTGGGAAAATAAATTGTTAAAATATCATTTTATTGATTATTGTAAAATTGATGTTCGCTTTCTTTCTCTCCTCTTCTTTTCTCAAGAATATAGTTAAAAGTTAATTATAGATTATCGTCATCATTGGCGATACTCTAAAATTGAAATAAAGTATTTTATATTTTTAAATATTAAAATTAAGTAAAGTTTCTATAATTATTTCTGGAGAATTCATATTAATATGAAGCGCTGTTTATTTTTTATAGTCGTTGATGAAAAAACAACGAAGATAACTTGCTCTTTAAACAATATCCCTTTGCGAGAGTAAGATATAATAGAGACCAGCTATAGTCAAGGAGTAAATAAGGATAACAAATATATTAAAAAAAAATATTTTAAAATGTACACTTCCACAATATTTTTATTCTCTCCCCTTCCCCCCTTCTAAATTATAGATAATAAACATTAACAAAATGCTAGGTCATTTGTCGCCTCAATCGTCCGTCGTTATAACATCCGCGGATCAAGTTCTCAAAGAATTGTTTACTCATAGAGGTTAAAATGTTTACTTTTTATGTATGTGAAAATGGATAAAGTTAATCAACTAAAAAAAATAAGGAAGAGAAAAACCGTCATTGAATGAGTATCAGATTTTGGAATCATGATCCATTGAACTGAATCAAATATGGGAAAAACTGAATCCCTTTTTTAAAATTTTCAGTTGCCGAATAATATTAACACTAATTAGACCACTGCGCCGCCTGCTCACATCGCTGCCGCCGGCAATTTTCGCCGCCGATTGAGATGAGCTGTGCCGCCAGGCCCAATTCCCATTTTTTGGGTGGCAGCGTGGCATGTAAAATTTTTAAAATGCTATTATTTAATTATATTTATATATTAAATTATTATTATTTAAAATTGAATATTGAAATTAATAAAATATAATTAAAATGTGAATTGTATTGGCATATAATAAGATACATCATCATTGATAATCATTCATGTACATTCTATTTTATATTTCAATTACATAAACATAGTACATATTATATCTTTATTTTAATGGACCTACACTTTTTAAACCATTCTATAATATACAATGAAATTAACTTTAATGATCTTTCAATAATAAATGAGATCTAGTTGACGAACTTTCTGTATTAAATGCATTCGGAGAGTCTGTAAAATTACTTCCTGCCAAAAGAGACCAACAATTAATTTAGGTTTATTATTTCGCAGCGAAATAAAATTAAATATACAAATCAACGAATCTGATAGATCAGATATCATTTGTCTAAAAGAAAATATGCACAAAAGCTTGACCATAGGGATTTTCAATTACAGAACTGCAAGTGTTTATTTTCTATACTAATTTTCTATTTTTTAATATATTTATTAATATTAGATATTTGCGATACTACATAATCCGAATTTCGCAATCTTAAAATTCTTTCAGAATATTTAAATTTGAATTCTATAATTTTTAATTAGATATTTAAAACTTATAGAGCATGAAATGCAGAGAGTGAGAGTTAGATTGAAGAATGGGCAAATAGCCAATACATATATAGCGAAAATAGCTCGTAAACACCTTCCAATCAACGATAATAATTTTACTAGTAATCTAGAATAAGAATGTCATATTCTCCTTGACCTCTTTACTTTTTACCAGAATAGGATGTACTAACCTTTTGGGGAAAAACAACTGAAACACTTGCTAATTTATGAAAGTACTTTTTATACCTGCAACTAGTACACTTAACGAAAGTATCTTTCCCATGTCTGGATAATACTTAAAATAATCTCCATATGCCACACCAATCTTGACAAAATAATATTTATTAACGAGAAATATAATTTGACTAAACTATTTCTAGTTTATTTATAATCTCTTTCTTTATATTTTGTTTGCATTCCAAATTTATACATCATTGTTTTAATGAAAATCGATGAATATTACAACTAAGTAGGACTGTGCCGATCCACAAATTTTTCAACAAAACGATCCGATTCGATACTTTCCGATATTACTAAAAAGTTAATCTGATCCCGATCCGATATTTATATTGATTTTTTACCATCTATATTTGTATTTAATACAACAAAATTATCAATATTTTCTATTTTAAAAAAAATCCAACTAACTTTCACGAATGATTAAGTGTATTTTATTTTTATTCTCCAAAAGTTAATAATTTCATTTAAAATATTTGTATTGTTTATAAGGGTTAATATACAGTTTTTAAACAACTCCGTTTAGCCGATTTTTAAAAAGGGTTAAATCAAAATTTTATCAAAATAATATTACCTAGGCCTCGAAATTTCACTAATAGAAGTTCAAACCTTTCTGCCATCTGTGAGCAAAATCAATAAGCTTGAATTATTTACTTTTGGCCAAATTCTTAAGTTTAACGTTTTTAAAAATTGGCTTAATCTAACCGTTTAACAACACTAGCTGAATATGACAATTTAGATATTTTATCCTTTTCTTGCTGCAGATAATGTAACTAAAAATAGTGTAAATATTAAACTAATTTTTTTAAACATTTCAACAAATAAATTGTATTTTAGCTCCATTTATTAATATTTTATTATGAAATTATTTATAATATAAAAACAAAATTATATGATTATATATACAATCTTAAAATAACCAAAAACATATTTTTTGAAAACGCCAAATATCGGTATTGATCCGAACTTATATTTAATATACACAACCCTGCAACTAAGTGTGCCCAAATAAATTATAAAAATATGGAATGCATTTAATTACAAATTAAATTCATTTTTAAAATAAGTAGCGCCGCCGTCGCTAATTTATTAGGAGGCGACTAATTGAGGCGCCGCCGCTTCCGATTGATACCTCGGCGCACAGGTCTAACACTAGCATAGAACATATAATGAAGTCAGCTGTAGTAGGCCCCATTTGAAAAGCATTTTCGTTTATATACCTTTCAATGGCGGACTTATATATGTGGAACTTTTTAATGAATGAATGAATCGTCATAGGCTAATTAAGATGGCATCGTTCCAAATTCTGTAAAAAGGAATCCAATATACGATAGAGATGAAAATATATAATAAACTTTTTATTTCTTGTATTTAGGTTCGGGAACACTCTTCAAGCACATAGACACCTTTATCCAGACTAACAATCTCAGAGACATAGATAAAAACAGATTGGTCAATCTAATTAACACGTAATTTTTTTCACTATTTTTTAAAAAAAACTTTCTGCTTTTTTGCGCGATGTTCTTTGCAATAAATGCATTTTCCGGTGAGTAGTGTTGTTAAATGACTCGATATGGTCCAATTTTTAAAAACTACTGACTCAATATTTTAGCCTGAAAAATATTGTCTGAGCCTCGAAATTTGGCTAATAGACGTTGAAAACATTTTGCCATATATGGACAAAATCTTCAGGCTTGCTTAATATTTTTCTGGATAAGATTTTGAGTTAACCTTTTTTAAAAATTGCTCAAATCAAGCCGTTTAATACTACTGTTCGTGAGTGAATAAATGAATATCGTAATAAATCGGTATCGTATCTTATTACGCTTTCTTTTTGTCTCACAAATATTGACAATTATATGATTCACCTTTTCCGATGTTTATAGAAACCTTTCATTCTCTTCTTTAAAAAAATGAAATTGAATTTCTGATTTTCCAATTTATTTTTAAAAACTTTCAATTTCCTTCACTTAATATAAGTGAATTTGAATTTCTGTTTTCCCATGTTTAGTCTTGCAACATAGATTTAATAAACGCACAGGGACTGGGACATTATTTTTTTATATATACGAGGTGGAGAGGCCCATAAAAATTGTTGTTCCCTGGTTTCTCATGTATATATTTATTTCAATTTGTAGGTATGATCATTTTTTCTTGATGTTTCCAAAAATTTATTTTTTTTAATATGGCACAAAAAATTTTATATTACCACATTATTTAATGGGTGTAATTACAAAATATATTATAGGACTTTTGAGAAGACGTTAAAATACGATTTTTTTGAAAAACTACAGGACAAAATCGACAGAATGTTCGTATCCGAGAAGTTTTAAATTAAAAATAAATTTTACACTAATTGCTTTATATCCATACATAAATAATTCAAGAAAGAAAGAAAGAAAGAAAGGAAAAATAATATATCAAAATGAAACTGATCACAAAATTTTCAAAATGCGTTTTTGGATAGTTATATCTTTGATACATTATTTGCTTAATTATATTTTACAACTTTTTTTGTAAAATATTAGATTATATGACGTGGCAATGCTTGATAAGGATTTTTAAATGCTTTATTAATAAAGATAAAATAGTTTAGGAAACCTTTAGTAATTATTAAGATAATAAGAAGTTTAGAGGGCTTATTTAATATTAAAATAATAATTAAATACCTCTTCTTCGCGTTTCTTTTTCCTTCGGGAGTATTTTTCATCCCTTTTATGATGCTAAAGTTCAGTAGGGTTTCAAAAAAAAATCTAAAATATTATAATATTTTATTTTCACAAGATCTCATAATGCTTTTTCAATTTTTATGTTTCTTCAAATAGTTATAATGCTGCTGCAATTATCACTCATGAAGAAGGTCTAATTATACCATACCTTAATAAGTTTGTCATTTCATCCGATATTCAGGTATTTTAAAAAATTTGTTTTATAAAAAAGAATTGTTCTTTGAAGTTATATACATTATTTTAATTTATATATTAATTATCATTATCAATAACACTAAAATTATACTTTTTTGCAGGGTCTAGGTTTGAGCGAAACTTTGTGGAATCTCCTTAAATTTCAATACAAGACTCTAATTTGGCGTTCGTCGCATACAAACAAAATCAACCCTTGGTACTTTAAAAATTGCGAAGGATCTTGGAGCAACGGACAATGGATAGTTTTTTGGTAAAACGTTTTGATTATCATTGAACTTTGTATTCTTTCATTCTTTCTTATCTACAATTACAAATTATTTCTGGCATCCCCTCCCTTTACCCTCTGACATCTTTTCATTAAACTTCTATCCGGATTCAGTGTCAGAATTATTAGACCGACCACAAACTATACGATATTATTCTTGTTTAGTTATCATTTTATATTTACCATTTTTATATAATCTTTTATATGATTTTAGATGTATCTCTTGACATTCTTGTAATAGTTATCGACCGTTTTTCATCTAAAACATTTTTTTTATATTTACACATTAGGAGTTCTCCAACGTTAATTATTTAGCTTTGTTCTATAAAGAAAAATAATACACAATTCATATTTATAGATAGTATAAGTTTGTGATGTGCAATGAGTATTTTTTTAAATATCTAGTTTGCGGTCAAATTTTTTTTAAAGAGAGAGATAACGAATGAATAAATATAAAAAATATATATATTTTGTGATTTTATTTCTATTTATTAATAAAATACCTTGGGTTTTAAGGGAACTATACAATATTCATTTTCTATGAACCTCGATATATAATTATTTTAATATAACACTTTTTAAGGTATGGCATTTCAGACCCAGAGACATCCCATAGGGCTATAAAAACCGTTCTAAATATCGACATTTCTTTTGAAAATTCTCCCTCGAAACCTGCCGCTTCCAACAAATTAGCGGCTTCCGATATTTCTTCGCCAACACCTAAATCAGATCCTCCCTTAATTATTTCCTTATAGAACAATTGTAATAGTAGATATCTCGAATGCATTAAACGTATTATTATTTCTATATAATTTAAACCATCGTACATAATAGTGAAGATCGAAAATTAAGGCATCTTAGTTAATTTGAATATCCCATTTACGAAATCATGCATACGTCTCAGCATAATATCAAGTCAAAATATTCATTCAGGTTCTAGTATAATTATTATCACCACCAAAATATTTTTCACGGGTTTTAACACGTCTTTTACACTATTTCTATTTGACAGGTAGAATGCTATTCCCCCATCCTACAAATTATTTCTATCATGATTTTATTTTTGTATCTTATTTATTTTTCCTGCTAAATTTATAATTAATTTTGTGCATATTTATCTCCAAGCTATACCATTAAACTGTCAATTATAAATCAATCCCATAAATATATGATTTTAGTTAATATTTTATTACTTGTTATTATTTTAATATATGCTATTATTTAATTATATCGCAAATAAGTATAAAAATACCCCCCCCCCCCCTCAATTCCTCATTTCTTTAAGAGTTTTTCTAAAATTTTTCTTAATATAAACTTTAAACAATCAAATTATAAAATATATTATCAAGAATTATAATGATTGTTAGTATAAATTATTATGTAAATATAAATATAGTAATAATAATTTAATAAATGAATTTCAAAGAAGATGTTTTTTCCTTAAAAGATCAATAATACAGGCTTTTTCTTTAAGAGAGTAATTGTCCTAATATGAATAAATGGTTAAGAATTCGATGAATCCTAAATCGTAGTTTTCATGTTATATTTAAAACGCAAATTTAAATTTTCAAATTAATAGCAAAATTTTCTTAAACACTAATAAGCTGTTATTGCTAATAACAAAAAAAAATTAATGTGTTGATATTATACGTTATATTTCCATTAAAGTGTTGCAAATTTTAAGTTTACAAATTGAATTTTGTTGCAGTTAGCTTATATCATAAAATTTGTTTGATTTTATTGTAGCATTTAAAATACTTTGACAAGTATTACCTACCTTTCAGTATTCCATTTTGACCACTTATAACTCAATGTGAAAAAAGGGCCTCATTATATTCTTTTTATATTTTGACACGTTAATTCTCATTATTTATATGTTGCACTCTCAAGTATTAAAAACGAGAAATATTAAAGGTGAGCTATAGCACGTCGCAAAAAATATTCTGAAGAAAATGCTTTTCATAATTTTTTGATGATAATTAATTCAGTATTGAGTAGCACACTACATTTTAAAAAAAATAATCTTTGCTATCCTGCGCTTTATTTTTATTTGAAAATTAGATTTTCGCTATTTTAAATAATAGATTTGTAATTTAATAATATAATTTTTTTTTGATCGAAAAAATTAAAATATGGGGATATATAGTTTGGCGATGATAAGGATACTGTAGGAGAATCAAATGATCTTGTATATATGTAATATTGCTCAGTAAGATTGTTACTTAAAGTAGCGGTAAGTCTTAACAAAACTTTACAAATCATTTATTAAATTGAAATATATCCCTTTTTAGAAAGAATATTAAATTTAATTTTAATAATACTTTTTATATTGAAGGTGCAACTAATTGTTGTTATTTAAGGCTACAAAATTCGGTATTTAATAACTTTAATGTTGGTAAGCTTGTGGCTGATATAGTTAAACATTGATATTAATATTAGCTTTTTATATGAAGCATTTTTTTAATTTATGAAGCATTTTTATATTTACTATATGTAGTTTCATTATGATAATTTATATATAAAATTATAATATAATATTATTTTAGGATATATATTTTAATAATATAAAATAAGTAGAAGTAAAAATATAAATCGCGAAAATATCATTTATTGTTATTTAACAAAATATGATATAAATTAGAATTAAATAAATTTTACTATTGCAACAATTAAGAAAATAAGTCATTTTTAGAGTAACATTAAAAAAATTGATAAAATAATCTCTAAATCATAAAAATGATAAGAGTGCTTATTATAAGGAGTATATAGAAAAATAAGAGCTTAGAACAATTAAGATGCCTATTTTCATTTTGTATACTTTAGTAACTTAAATAATTATATGCAAAATGATTTATATTAAATATTAATGAAATGACTCCACTCTTTTAATTAAATTCAGCAACCTCTTTTTGTTTTTAGAATTAATCCTATCTGCTCAATAAAAACCTCTCACTGCACGTTATAAATTTAGAATTTGGAATTTTTATATTATATTGTTTTACTCAAAAATATGTTTTTATTCTTTCATTAAAGCTATTAAACCGGGTATGGTGTAGTCTTGTACCAATTTAACATTCATTCTCATATTAATAACGTGAGAAATGGCCGGAACTCTTATATTTGATGAATATGGTAGACCCATGTTTTTGTTTAGTAATCAACAAAAAGAAAAAAGATTGACTGGAATTGAAGCTCATAAAGTATAATATTTCTATAATAGCCGAAAGTATATTTTTCAATTTTAAACAGTCGCATATCTTAGCTGGGAAAACATTAGCCAATACATTGAAAACTTCTCTGGGTCCTAAAGGATTAGACAAAATGCTTGTTTCTTCAGATGGAGAGGTCACTATAACGAATGACGGAGCAACTATTTTGAAGAATATGGATGTTGAAAATCAAATTGCAAAATTAATTGTTCAATTATCACAGTCACAAGATGATGAAATTGGAGATGGAACAACAAGTGTTGTCGGTATACATCTAGTTTTAAATAATTTATTGTTTATTTTAAATAAATAGTTCTGGCTGGAGCATTATTAGAAAATGCTGAGGCTCTTCTTGATTGTGGAATTCACCCAATAAGAATAGCAGATGGTTATGAACTAGCAGCCAAAATAGCCGTTGATTATTTAGATCAAATATCAGAAAGATTTCCAGTTAGTAAAGATAATTTAGAACCTCTTATCCAAGTTGCTATGACTACCTTGAGCTCTAAAATGTAATCTTATAAAAAAATATTCCTCCAATAATTTTGTTTAGAGTAAATCGTTGCCATAGACAAATGGCAGAAATTGCAGTGAAAGCAATATTATCTATAGCAGACTTAGAGAGAAAAGATGTTGATTTTGAATTGATAAAAATTGAAGGTAAAGTTGGAGGTAAATTAGAAGATACTCAACTAATAAAAGGTGTGGTAGTTGATAAAGGCTTTTCTCATCCACAAATGCCTAAGGTAATATGATTGTTGTAATAAATGTATGTTTATTATATTTACTAAGCCTGTTTTAATATGAATTGAATTTTATTCTATTTATTGAATAATTTACTTTAATTATACAAATCAAAAATGAATTGTATATTTTATTACTCATAACAAATATGAATATTAATTTATATGACACGTTCAAAAGTATTGAATAATTTGATTTATATTCTTTGATTAGGCTTAATATTTACCAGAGACCTGCAGGCCCAGCCCTATACCTGGCCCGGGCCGTATTTTAAATTTTTTAAATATACCCAGGCTGGGCCGGGCCTAAAAAATTTTTTTTTAAATATATCCGGGCCGGGCTTAAAAATTTTTTTTTAAATATATCCGGGCCGGGCCTAAGATTGTTAATCCCGGGCTGGGCCTTAATATGTTTTTATAAAAATTTTTACATTATGAGTTAATGGTTATAAGATTATATTATAGTTATGATTAATATAATATTGGGTGATGGTTAACACACCTAACACCCACAGATCGATCTAATTATTAATTTCCTGCAAATTTATACAAAGTATTAATATATTTTTTTATAATTCATATCTAAATTTTTACAACATATTTTACCAAAACAATCAAATAAAGGAATATCTTAAATAAGCCCCAATATTCAAGTATTAATAATATATATCTTTTATAATTCATATCTAAATTTTTTGAATATTTACCAAAACAATCAAATAAAGGAATATCATGGCACAAAATACTAATGATATAATTAATAAAATTAAAAATAATATTTATTCTTTTAGAAATACAAATAATAATTTAAAATCTGAAATATGGGCTAAATTTAACATCATCATAGATGAAAATAAAAAAAACATTGGCTACGTACAATGTAAGAATTGTTCAAGTATATAATCTTATAATTATAAACATGGTACATCACATCTAAAAAGACATAAATGTGATGGTAAATCCATGAAAATTAATAATTTTTTTTACACCTGAAAAACCAACCTATAAATGTAATATAAAATATTTAAAAATTATAAAATAAATTATATTAATATTGTGCAATTAGATTATATTTTCAAAATACTATTTATTATACATGCATTTTTTTAAATAGCGATTTATTTTTATTTTATAAATTAAATAGTAAATTAAATACAATATATTATATTCTCAAAATATTTTCCATTTTTATAAATTTTTTTTTTATTACTTATAATTTATTTAAATTACAATAATTAAATTACAATGACATATTATATACAATATATTTTATTAATCAGTTAGAATATCATATAATAGAACATTTAAGATATTAGTAATTTATGTAATACTAAATATAAAAATAAAATCATAAATTCAATATTAATTAATGAATAAAATTTAGATATAAATTGTAAGTAATTAGGGGGTATCAGTCATTGAGAATATGAAGCTGAGGTAATTGGATTTTATTATATTGAGGGCTAATCTTTGGCGTAGGTAGTAACCCTCGTTGGGATCTTCGGTCCTAGTAGAGATCCGTTTTCCCAGCTATTTAAAGAAGGCAAGGGCGTGAGAGCCGAACGATGTTAGAGTCGTGGCGATTAGTGGTAGGAATGTGTAATTGGCCGGAAGCGATGGCGAATATTTAGCGAGTTTATTCGTCTCGGCGTCTACTAGAGCATCTCTATTTATATTGGAAGGGGCAAGGGGATCGATGCATGAGAAATCCCAGGTTAGAAATTTCCCCCTCTTCCAAGGGATCATGGTAGAGCCATCGGGACGCTTACCATCAGAATTGTAGAGTCCAGTGGGTTCTAGGGTTGATGGGATACCGGCAGATTTTAGGGCCCTGGCAATAGTATCATTGCATTTTGAATGTCTAATGAATCTGCCTCTACAGCGCTTGCAGTGTAAAGAGTGACGGCCTTTGGAGTTGACTGGCGTTTGACAAAGGATGCAGTGATAGGGTATTACCTTATCACAATCAAGTCTTAGACCGATGGCGTGACGTAGCTCATCATTGCTTAGGAGCTGGTCAAGGTTTCGCGATGGAAAAGCTTCGAGAAATTCATACCCGCTGTCTGCGGAAATGGAGAAGAGTAGAGAATGGTCCTCGGGTTGGCTCCTCGATTTAAGGTATGCAACGGAGTTGCTAACTAGAGGCTTATCCCAGTCCTTCTGCAGTGTCGATGAGGGAGGATCGACTAATGAAAGAGATTTCCATAGATCAATTGCCTGGGGAAGTAAAGGGTCAGGATGTTTTGTGAGTGCGTGTATGATGGGCTCGCAGGACAGGCGAGAGGATATGAACGCACTAACAGAGAGTAGGGAAGGCGATCGTATGCCAATGCCGCCGGATTTGGTTGGCAAGGTAGCTTGTAGCCAAGATAGGTCTCCGAATTTGAGATTGAGTATATCCTCTGTAAGGTGTTTAATCTCTAGCTCGTGTGCAGCGAGGTTGACGTCGTATTGGAAGATACGTGACGATCGGAGTGTATATAGAATTTTTGGGATTAGGAGGTAGTTCTTTAATAGAAAGAACGCTTGGTGGGCTGGGAGGCGAGATAGTGTACCGCGCATAAGGGATATCTCTAGTAGAGTGTCGGCGAAGAACTTGACAAAGGACTCGTCTTTACCCACTGGAGATCCGAGATGTGTTAAGAAGTTCAATGGTGTATGATTGAACATAGGATCATAGTTAAGGTCGATGATTCCAAGAGGACAATATTCGCTCTTGTCTTGATTGATTCGCAGTCCCAAACTGCTCTCGCTGGATTTTATTATTTCGACCGCCTTCATAACTTCGCTGGGTGAGCCGCCTAGTATACCATCGTCGATATACCAGTTATGAAGGTTTAGTTTACATTGGTCATTTATGCTTTGTATTAGGCTATTAATGCCCAGACTGAATAAGAAGGAGCCTAGAGGGTCACCTTGTTGTATTCCACTACTAGAAGGAATCAATCTATCTCCAAATTGAAGATGCGATGGACTAGCATAACAATCGAAGATGAATTGCGAGTATTCTGGGTAAAGGGTAAGGATGGGATTAAGAAACGCTGTACGTTTTAGAGAGTTAAAAGCGTTTGAAAAATCTATCTTAATTAGGATATCGTCACTGGGGTCTGTTTGTAGATACATTCTGGTCATGTGTAAGGATACCTCGCATCCCCCTTTTACGTTGACTCCTAATTGATTAGGGCACAGGTGATTAGATACTGTGAACAATATTCTGCTCACTACTAGCTTTGCGGTTAATCGGCGCCAAGTGGTTCCAATAGCGATAGGGCGAATATCTTTATTAGGTTTGTGGAGGGCGATGAGTTTAGCTCCATAAAGGAGTGGAATAATGGCGGGTGGTAAGCCTCCAGCAAGCATACGGTTGATGAGTTGAGTAATTTTTTCCAAAACGTCGCATTGTTGTGTGATGTAAGGTGCGGTTAGATCCTGTAGGAATATTGGGCGAAACCCATCAACCCCCGGTGAAGAATCGCGTTTGAAGGAGAGAATAGCCTTTCTAACCTCGCTTGAGGTAAAAGTGGTTGCAATTAGAGGAGCTTCGGGGTAAGACGGTATTTCGTCCTTAAGATCGTGTGGGTGGTGTTTTAGGAGAAGAGCTTGATAAGTTGTTTGATCGTAGGGAGCTAGCTTATTGTCAGATGTTGCCAGTCGTATGGCGGATTTAACATTCAGGTTATCCAGCTTTTTAGATATAAGCTTGGCCTTGGTGAGTAGGTCATTTTTGTGATTTTTATTTTTATCAGTGTCATCACCTTTAAAAGATGTGGAAAAGTGATTGATGGGTAAGGGGTAGATAGTAGCATCCTTGATTTGCTGTGTCAGAGATTTTTTACTGGCAGGATCAGGAACTTGCAAGGTAGTAAAGGCAAATGACAGGGTGTCTAGCCAGTGTTTTATGGAAGAATAATTATTTATCAAGGAAGTCAAGTTCTTTGAGAGGTGTTTGGCAACTTGAAGTCTTGCTCCCTTAGGTATACGTGAAATCACAAATGGTTTTGGTGTGACTAGAAATATTTCTACATCTGTGGAGTCGGTTGGATTGAAAGTGAGAGCATTTTCGGCGGTTGAGGTGGGGACTATTGGGCTAGTAGGCACATCAGTCAACGTGGGAATGGTAACTATAGGTTGTGCGAGGGCAAGGGCAGAAAAGGCATTTAGGGTTCGAGGGATAGCTGGTGATAAGATGGGAAACCCAGATTGAGGACATTTTATCTTCTGGTTTCGATGAGATGGCAATAGCCCCAATTTGGTTACTTTAACGAGTTTATTACATAAAGGGCAGTTAGATTTGGTAGAAGCTGTGCTGAGGTCTGGTAAGCTCATGAATTAAAATTTTTTTATCAGTTTAAGAGTGAAAATGTTGGATATTATTTTTATCTTCAAATATGGGTTTCTTGTGGGTTGGTATATTAAGGAAGTTTAATGAGTTATTATTTTCTGTTGGCAATTATTTTATTTTTTGTAAAATATTCAGTTTCTCTTTCTGCTTTTATAGCAATATTAGCTTGCTTTAAAGGATTTGAATCAATAGTATATTTAGATAAGAGATTAAATGTCTTATCCTTTTCAAATGTGAATATTGATTGTGTTTTGTGCATTTAAATAAAATGTTTGGATGACAATTTTATATTAGTCAACAGTTTTTGGTATAAATAAGGGTAAATTGTAAAGATTGGTAAGAATGATAGAATTGATAATGTAGAGTGTTTTGTTGGGAATAATATAAAAGAACTTGTTGGTTATTAATTGATGTATAATAATTGAGGATGATTGGTAATCTAAAAGTAAAGGAAATATTAAAGGAAAAAGTATTTACTTAAATTTTTTGTATCATTAATCTACAATTAAATTTTGATATATTGGAATTGTATAGAATTCATTGATGCAAAATTATGAAAGAGGACTGAATATTTTGGATGATAAAATCATTTTTATGTCAGGTTGTGGTATTGGCAGTGGTTGTAGTGTTGGCAGTGGTTGTAGTGTTGGCAGTGGTTGTGGTGTTGGCAGTGGTTATAGTGTTGGCAGTGATTGTAGTGTTGGCAGTGGTTGTAGTGTTGGCAGTAGTTGTAGTTTTATTGTTAGATTAATCAGGCGTAGCTTTTATGATTTTTCTAAGCTTGCAATTTGTTTATTTTGAAATTGGATATCTTGCTGAGATCCACTTATTAAATTGTTAACATATTGCTGGATTTAATTTTATAAGGTTGGGTGGCAACATGATGATACAAAGGATATTGATTGTGTTTTGTACATTTAAATAAAATGTTTGGATGACAATTTTATATTAGTCAACAGTTTTTGGTATAAATAAGGGTAAATTGTAAAGATTGGTAAGAATGATAGAATTGATAATGTAGAGTGTTTTGTTGGGAATAATATAAAAGAATTAAATTTTTTGTATCATTAATCTACAATTAAATTTTGATATATTGGAATTGTATAGAATTCATTGATGCAAAATTATGAAAGAGGACTGAATATTTTGGATGATAAAATCATTTTTATGTCAGGTTGTGGTATTGGCAGTGGTTGTAGTGTTGGCGTGGTTGGTGTTGGCAGTGGTTGTAGTGTTGGCAGTGGTTGTGTAGTGTTGGCAGTGGTTGTTGTGTTGGCAGTGGTTATAGTGTTGGCAGTGATTGTAGTGTTGGCAGTGGTTGTAGTGTTGGCAGTAGTTGTAGTTTTATCGTTAGATTAATCAGGCGTAGCTTACTATGTACTTTTAGGATTTTATGTGCTTTTCTCTTCTCAGATGTGAAAATGGATTATGCTTATCCAAATCTTCCTCTTCCCCAATTTTAAGCAAGGTTCACAATAAATATAATCAGGCATTATTGTGCTTTTCTTATTTTCATTCTTCAAAATAAGATTTCCAAAGTAACTCCATACATAACTTGATTTATGATTAGTAGAGAGAGTTATTATTTCATAATTAAATATAGAGTAGTTTAAAACATGCAAGTCCATAAAAATATATGTATTGTTTGTAGAAATGAAATGATGTAGGAATGAATGTAAATGATTCGCCATCGCTTCCGGCCAATTACACATTCCTACCACTAATCGCCACGACTCTAACATCGTTCGGCTCTCACGCCCTTGCCTTCTTTAAAGAGCTGGGGAAACGGATCTCTACTAGGACCGAAGATCCCAACGAGGGTTACTACCTACGCCAAAGATTAGCCCTCAATATAATAAAATCCAATTACCTCAGCTTCATATTCTCAATGACTGATACCCCCTAATTACTTACAATTTATATCTAAATTTTATTCATTTTTATAAATTAAATATTAGTTTTATTTTTTTTAAATGCAATATAAAATATAGTATATGCTCAAAATATTATTACCATTTTTATGAATATTAGTTTTATTTTTATAAATGCAAAAAATATAGTATATGCTCAAAATATCCATTTTTATAAATAACAGTTTTATAATTTTTATAAATTCAATATAATATTCTCAAAATATTAGCTTTTTTCATGTATTTTTTAAATAATAAGCGATAATACTCGCTGAAAAATATGGTAAAATACCTCATGGGTGAATTTTTGTATATACCAGGTCGAATATAATTTTAAAAAATTCCGAGCCGGGCCTGAAATTTTTTTTAAAAAATATCCGGGCCAGGCCTTAAATTTTTAAATCCGGGTTGGGCCGTAAAAAATTTTTACAATATAATTTATTTAATAAATAATTAAAAGAACTAAAATTATTTGTTGTAATGTTTAAATTTTACACTATTTTTTGTTAAATTATCTGCAAGAAAAAAAAGATTTTAAAATATCTAACAAATTACATTCAACTAGTGTTGTTAAGTAACTCAATTTAGCCATTTTTTAAAAGCAGTTTTAGCCATTATAAATTACTCAAGGTTATTTATTTTGTAGATGCTTACATAGTATTTTGGCAAAATTATTTAGTCCTTTTTAAAAATTGGCAAATTGTAGCTGTTTAACAACATGTTCACCCATAAACATAGCAAATATTTTATATTAACTTAAAGAATGAAAAAAAAATACACTTAATCATTTATTAATGTTAATTGGGGTAATATAAAATATTGATAGTTTTAGATGGTAAAAATTTGATACAAATATTGAATTGGTTTTTTTAGTAATATATGAAAATATCGGATTGTTGAAAAATTTGTGAATTGGCACATCCCTTAACACAAATTTTAGCCATGAAAAGACCCTTTCTACAGAAACTTGTGTTGAGGGAACCACCAGTATTATAAGAGCAAGATTATATAATTCTGGATATTCAAAAATTTTTGATTCCTAAATATAAACTGAACTGGTTTAACCTTTTTTTATAAAGGTTCTTTTTACTCCTTCAAAAAATAATTATATCGGTTCAGTTATGGTTCGGATATTTAAAACGGTTTATAATGGTTTAGCGGTTCATTACGGTTCACTTCGGGTCTTGCATTTTTTATTATATAATAATATTATTTGAACACATTTGTAATATACAAATAATTTAATATATGTATTTATTAATTAAAATATTGGTATTTATTTTTGCCTATTTATCATTTTTAAAGAGTGTGAAAAATGCTAAAATTGCAATTCTAACGTGCCCATTTGAACCTCCAAAGCCCAAAACTAAACACAAGTTGGATATTAGTTCTGTAGAAGATTACAAAAACTTGAGAGATTATGAATGGCAAAAATTTGAAGAGATGATTCAAAAAGTAATAGATTATGTCATAATATAAATTATTTTAACATAAAAAACATAGGTCAAGATAACTGGGGCAAATATAGCCTTGTGCCAATGGGGTTTTGATGATGAAGCAAATCATCTGTTACTTAAAAATAATTTGCCTGCTGTGCGTTGGGTTGGTGGCCCTGAAATTGAAGTTATTTTAGTTGTTTACAATTTCTCTAGGAAAGAAATAATTTTTTAAAAATATATTTTAGATATGCAAATGTAAAATAATAATATATAGATACTTTTTACCAAGGAAAAAATGATATTTGAATGAATTTAAATTAATGTATTATATTTTTATAAGTAATGTATTATAAACTGAAATTTTTTTGAAGAAAGGAAATGATACCATGTTTTTTTAAAGGAGAAATGTGCTAGCCTTTTTAAAATTAAGGAAAAATGTGTTACATTTTTTTAAACAACTGATAGTCATTTTTTAAACTTTTCTATAATGTATTAAATTGCTTTTTTAACTTTTCTATAGTGTATTAAATTGCAACTACTGTTGTTAAATTACTCGATTTTTAGAAAGGGTTAACTCAATATTTAATCCAGTAATATCACACAAACCTGAAGATTTTGCTTAAAGATGGTAAACCTTAAAATTTGCGGTTGCCAAATCTGTCAAATTCAATCAATTGATGAGATATCTGAGAAAAATAACAAATATTGAAAAAAAAGAAAAAACGATATAAATAAATGTGATCACAATGCTGCTTATTTATTGGGTCCACAATATCAAGGGGAGAATATTATTAGTAGTGAATTTAATGAAGTATATGATATAATACAAGAATTAGTCATTGTACAAGGTGGTGATAATCAAAATATTTTAAGTGATTTCAAAATTAAAAGCAACAATGATTTTATATTTTTAAAGAAATATTAATTTATTTTGTTTTTTTTAGATATTATTAAAATATAATTGTTATATTATGATAATGAAAAATATAGAGTGGAAAAAAAGAAAAAAAAACATTAATTTTAAATTATTATTAAATTATACTATTACATTTAAATTTGGTTAATTGGAATATACTTAAAAATTAATAAATCACATAATAATCTTAAAAATAACAAAAATTATATTTTAATTGTTGAGAAATAGAAATCTGAAGAAAAAGAATTCTCAATTTCACCCATATCAGGAGATTTAGAGAATAAAACTAGAACTCTTTTTCTATCCAAAACTGGTGCTAATACAAAAAATTATTTTAACAATTAATCCATAAAAGATCTTGATATTTTTTTTAGTTGATAGCAATAGCCACAGGGGGAAGAATAGTGCCCCGTTTTTCCGAATTGACCACCGAAAAGTTGGGCCATGCTGACATTGTGCGAGAATTAAATTTTGGAACTGTCAATGATAGCATGCTAGTTGTAGAAGGCTGCAAAAATTCTAGGGCCGTGACTATTTTGATTCGTGGTGGAAATAAGATGGTAACTTATTATCATATTTATCTTTCACACTTTCTTTTCCTTTCATTCATTTTCATCTTCTTCAAAATATTCCTTCATTAACCAAATTGTTTTATATTAACATTTAGAAAAACCTTATATTGTTAATTACATGTTAAAAAGGGATATAAATTTGATAAAATTCAACTAATCCATAACAAATAACTATTACAAATATACTTTTTTTCGAAATTATGAAGGCAAAAACTTAATTATTCCCTTTTCGAACTATTGATACATAGATTGTAGAAGAAGCAAAGAGGAGTTTACATGATGCATTGTGTGTCATACGCAACTTGATCAAAGATGACAGGGTCGTTTATGGGGGTGGTTCAAGCGAAATTGCCTGCAGTCTCTGTGTGCGAAAACATGCTGATAAAGTATACTGAGTTGCCTTTTATATTTGAAATTAAGTGATATTATTATTTTTATTTTATTCCTTGAATTCCAATGCCCATCACCCAACAAAAAATCTATACGCTTATTATAAAGTCCTCTAATAGACAATAACATTAAATTTTAAAAGTTGGGAGGGAGAGTTGTCCTCATATAAATACCACAAGCATGCCTATCAAAAATTTGAATTTTCGAAAAAATGAGCATTAGTTTAAACCAAAGACCATAATAATTATAATTAGATCTGTGTGCTGACGAAGTTATTGGTGGTTGGCTCGAATTTCAAAAATCTAATGGGTGGCCAGTAGCGCACCTATTTTTAGCAATCGCATTGGCGATGTAAATTGGTGTTATAAATTTTTTATGACGTATATTTTTTTAATTGCTAACTAATTTTTAAGAAAAATTAAATTATACACTATAGATATCTCGGTATATTTTTAGATCCTTATTGAAAAACTCGTAAATTCAAAATTAATTTTATAATTATCATATAAAAATAAAATTGTTTAAATTTTCTGGACATATTAATAATCTTATTGAATTCAACATTAACCTATCAGTAGAGAAAACTTTTTCATGCTAGTTGCTGGGACATAATATTTTTTTTAGCTAATATAGATAAACTAGGGAGTGGGTAATATTCCATACCAAATCGATAACTTTTCGGCCCGACCTTTTTAATTTCGATAAAATTTTTTAAGCTGAGAGAATATCATTTGAAAGCATCAAATCCAAAATTTTAGCCTCCTAGTACTCATAGTTCCAGAGATATCAATGGTCAAAAGTGCCAAGCCTTTTTTCAAAAAATAAAAAATAATGATTTTAAAAATATAAATTATATGTCATTTTGTAACTCTATTAAAGGCCTTTTATTAATTATTAAGGATTTTTTTGAAATAATATTGTTGCGGTTTTTATTTACGTTATAAATTTTAAACATAAAAATTCTAGGTGTTTCGCTTTCCAAATTTTTTTGAATTTAATATTTTCTTATTCTCTAACCTTATATCTATTCATAAAATGGCTGTCCCAAGTTTAAATTTTTTTATGAATAAATATAAAGTTAGAAAATATGAATATTAAATTCAAAAAAAATTGGAAAGCGAGAAACACCTGGAATTTTTATGTTTAAAATATAACGTAAATAAAAACCTCAACAATATTATTTCAAAAAAATCCTTAATATTTAATAAAAGGCCTTTAATAGAGTTATAAAATGACATATTATATAATGAAAGTAAAGAATCCATAAGATCTACACCTCCCATTGATTTATTACAAACTTTAACAATGTTTGGACATTTTATCATTATTTTATCCTTTTTTTTCTATCATATCTTTCGCAATCGATAAGAGGATGTGCACCTACAAAAGTGCTCAATAGGTCACAGCACGATTGTCGTGCCACTTCACTGAATTTAACTCAACCCCGTTTATTATTGTTTTTTTTTAAACAAAAAATCCTCGCCCTTTTTTTCAACTCCTTATCTGTTGGGAAGTTGATATTTGGTAGTCGATTACCTCTGACCGTGGCCGCGCAAAATATCCCTCTTTGAGCGAGTACGACTTGCAAATTTGGTGAACAAAACCAGTTATCAAAAAATAATTTATAATTAATTTGCTGTGGTATATAAGAAATTAAACGTAGCACAGCATTGCCACTTGCTCCAACAACAGGCAATCCTTCCGCTGGTAGTATTTTCCCAGAGTATACTTCAAAATTATGGAGAAGGCCATCATCTCCGCATAGTAGGAAGACTTTATAGCCCCATTTTTTGGGCTTTTGGGGGTTATATTGCTTTAATCTGCTCATCCCTTTGTATGGAATTATTTGCTCATCTACGAAAATATTTTCCCCTATCGATAAAGATTTTAGTATATTATTGGTTATAGTTATCAAGGGTCTAATTTTATGAAGTGGGTCATGGCCCTCACTTCCAAGTGGAATAAATTTGTCATTATCATTTATATGAATGAATGATTTGATTTGTTCCCAGCAATTTAGGGTCATGACATCAGCCACCTTGGCCTGTCTTGTATTGGTGGCCCAGTAGAGACGTGCTCTGGGAAGTAAAATAATTGACATGTAAAAAATAATTCCTATAAATTTTTCTAATTCATCTATCGATAAATTCAAAGGTTTGTTGGAATTGCATTGAATTGCATATTTGATTCGTAAACAATTAGAGGTAATAAATCAGTGAGATATGTATTATAATAATCCATTGGTTTTTTTACTTTATCAACCGTTGGGTTTTCTCCTTTCCACTTTGGAATAACTAACGGTAAATTAGTTAAAACCCTGTATTGCATACTGTGTATCTCAAGCCACATACCACAAATTATATAATAAATATTTTATAAATAAATTTTAAATCAATTGCATGGTGTGTATTTGAAGCCATATTCTATATCTTCGATTGGAATTTTAATTTGGGCCACGTGATCTATTATTTATTTTTAATTTCGCATTTTATTAAACCCTATTTTTAAAAATGGCTATTTTTTTATAAAATTTTTCTTCTCAATTTTCTACACATCGTAAAAGGATAAATAATATATTTGACAAATTTCAAAACATTAAAATTAGATAAATAAAAGGTAAAAATTAATGTTTATGAAATTATTTTATATATATTTATTATTTTTGATAATTATATTTTGTAATAATCATACGTTGCTTTAAAGACACATTATGCAAATAAGGTATTTTATTTGAGTTTTATATTTTTAGAATTATGAATTGTGGTACCATACCTAATGATAGTGAAGATTCAAATTTAAGTGAATCGTCTGATGAGGAGTTTCTGTCAACCCAAAATAATGATTTAGGTATATTTAAAATGTATGCTCTTATATAATCTATAAATATCTAGATTTCAATGAGAGTGATGAATCGGAAGAGGATGAAAATATAAATAATGAAAAAGGAATCGTGAGAAAAATGATTTGGAAAAATTGCTTAACTAATTTACCATTAGTTATTCCAAAGTGGAAAGGAGAAAACCCAACGGTTGATAAAGTAAAAAAACCAATGGATTATTATAATACATATCTCAATGATTTATTACCTCTAATTGTTTACGAATCAAATTTATATGCAATTCAATATAATTCCAACAAACCTTTGAATTTATCGATAGATGAATTAGAAAAATTTATAGGAATTATTTTTTACATGTCAATTATTAAACTTCCCAGAGCACGTCTCTACTGGGCCACCAATACAAGACAGGCCAAGGTGGCTGATGTCATGACCCTAAATCGCTGGGAACAAATCAAATCATTCATTCATATAAATGATAATGACAAATTTATTCCACTTGGAAGTGAGGGCCATGACCCACTTCATAAAATTAGACCCTTGATAACTATAACCAATAATATACTAAAATCTTTATCGATAGGGGAAAATATTTGCGTAGATGAGCTAATAATTCCATACAAAGGGATGAGCAGATTAAAGCAATATAACCCCCAAAAGCCCAAAAAATGGGGCTATAAAGTCTTTCTACTATGCGGAGATGATGGCCTTCTCCATAATTTTGAAGTATACTCTGGGAAAATACTACCAGCGGAAGGATTGCCTGATGTTGGAGCAAGTGGCAATGCTGTGCTACGTTTAATTTCTTATATACCACAGCAAATTAATTATAAATTATTTTTTGATAACTGGTTTTGTTCACCAAATTTGCAAGTCGTACTCGCTCAAAGAGGGATATTTTGCGCGGCCACGGTCAGAGGTAATCGACTACCAAATATCAACTTCCCAACAGATAAGGAGTTGAAAAAAAAGGGCGAGGATTTTTTGTTTCAAAAAAAACAATAATAAACGGGGTTGAATTAAATTCAGTGAAGTGGCACGACAATCGTGCTGTGACCTTATTGAGCAAACAATATTCCAAAACGAAAATCAGTTCAAACTGGTTATTGGGAAAAATGTAAAAAAGGACCAGCTCAATATTTACCACTTCAAGAGGTTAGGAAAGACCTCACGGCTCATTGGCCAAAATATAATGATAAGAAGGGTAGATGTAAAATGCCAGGATGCTTATTTATAACAAAAGTATCTTGCAAAAAATGTGGTGTATATTTATGTTTTACGCCCACAAATAATTGTTTTATAGATTTTCATGAAAATTAAAATGTTTAAACCTTTAATATTTGTTATATTTAAATAAAATTTTATATATTTATAGTTTAAAGTACAATAAAAATTATTGTGGAAATAATTGAAATTTGTATCCTTAATTGCATAATGTGTATTTAAATCCACATACCGTTCATCTTCTAAGAAATTTAGAATTTTTTTTAAAAAAGTGAGCCATGAGATTATCAATAGTATCTAGAGAAATAAAAAATCTAGTTTGCCAAAAAAAAATTATTCTAACATAGTACATGCAATACAGGGTTAAGCAATTTTTCCAAATCAATATTTTCATCCTCTTCCGATTCATCACTCTCATTGAAATCTAGATATTTATAGATTATATAAGAGCATACATTTTAAATATACCTAAATCATTATTTTGGGTTGACAGAAACTCCTCATCAGACGATTCACTTAAATTTGAATCTTCACTATCATTAGGTATGGTACCACAATTCATAATTCTAAAAATATAAAACTCAAATAAAATACCTTATTTGCATAATGTGTCTTTAAAGCAACGTATGATTATTACAAAATATAATTATCAAAAATAATAAATATATATAAAATAATTTCATAAACATTAATTTTTACCTTTTATTTATCTAATTTTAATGTTTTGAATTTTGTCAAATATATTATTTATCCTTTTACGATGTGTAGAAAATTGAGAAGAAAAATTTTATAAAAAAATAGCCATTTTTAAAAATAGGGTTTATTAAAATGCGAAATTAAAAATTAATAATTGATCACGTGGCCCAAATTAAAATTCCAATCGAAGATATAGAATATGGCTTCAAATACACACCATGCAATTGATTTAAAATTTATTTATAAAATATTTATTATATAATTTGTGGTATGTGGCTTGAGATACACAGTATGCAATACAGGGTTAAAATCATTATTTTTTATTTTTTGAAAAAAGGTCATTTTTGGCACTTTTGACCATTGATATCTCTGGAACTATGAGTACTAGGAAGCTAAAATTTTGGATTCGATGCTTTCAAATGATATTCTCTCAACATACAAAATTTTATCGAAATTAAAAAGGTTGGGCCGAAAAGTTATCGATTTGGTATGGAATTACCCGAGTTTGATCCTCTTTTCTCTCCAGAAATTCGAATCCATATTTTGTAAATGGTTTTCCAAGAAGAATTTGATATTCTTATTTTAAATAATCTAAAGCGGAATTATTATTTGTACTTGCTGAATGTTTAGATGCTAATTTTGTCAAATAATTTGAATTTAATATTTCCTCTTGATTCTCATTCACTATATACTACTCCTCTGATATCATCATACTTGTTTTATGATAAATTTTCATACCGAGTATTTTTGTTCTATTATTTATTCAATTTTTAATTTTTAAAATCTTGGGTCTAGAAGAGAAGCCAAAGATATAGATAGGTAATTTGTCAATAGAAACGCCTTTATTTAAATAATGTTGTTAAACGGCTCGATTTGAGCCGATTTTTAAAAGCGGTTAACTCAATATTTTATTCAGAATAATATTACACTGAAGATTTTGGTCATAGATAGTACAACGTTTTGGAAATCCATTAGCGAAATCTCAAAGCTTATAGACAATTTTTTCTAACTAAGATATTGAAATAGCCGTTTTTAAAAATCGTATTGTAATTTTTTTAGCATACTTTTCCTTAAGGGTAATGATTTCTGAGCTAAATAATTTTACTATTCAATTTGTTTCAATTTCGCTTCTAAAAAGTGATGCCAAGTTTAATATAAAACTTTTTATGCATATAGAAATTCAACTGTATCTTTAAATTTTAATCCTAATAGCTCTTTTACTAATAAATCTAATTTATAGTTTAAGATAGTTCTTTTCAAAACGTTATTAATTAAATCTATATTTGCTCCAGATATGCCTTTAGGTATAATTAATAAACTATGAGATCTTGTTGGGACATTTAATTTTCCAATTTAAAACCGATATGAGTATAGATCAGTAATATCAATATCTGATGTTAAAACTATTGTACTTAGGCATTATCTTTGATCTGCCTTTAACTCAAATTCAATCTGCAGTTTTGTATTTTAGAGCAATAATAATTTATCTTATTCTTAAGATTTTCAACAAAAGGTATTTAATATTATCCATTCAGATCATATAAAGTATGACCCAAACATAAATGGTGTTCATATTAATCAAACACCATGGTCTCCATTTTAAAAATATGTAAATTATGGTAACTTATAGAATTTTTGATTGTTTGGATTATAAAATGATGTTAAAATAAGAATTTATCAAAATTCTGATTGACATAAAAAATTTACAACAGTGATGTTGACCGAGTATTACAAAATGCATAAAATAAGGAAATCATTTTTAAAAAAATCAACAGTGCGATGGATTTTCATAAACAGCGGCGTTTTCGGCACAAAATCTCAGCCAACTGGCACACGGGCCTAAATATAAATTTAAAAAATTGTTGCATAAACATCACAAGATGTTAATCTTGAAGAAAAATTGCGATTTTTAAAATATTATAAATTTTCATATTTCTAAAGTAGATTCATTATTAAATAGTATATTTAATAATAAGAGTATTGCACACATAATTAATATTATATTTAATTTAAATATATATTTTTAATAGTAATTAATGCCAAAATTTTCTATTCCCAAAGGTGTCTACTATTGAACAATACGCCATGAAATCGTTTGCGGATGCTCTGGAAAGTATTCCCGATGCGTTAGCAGAAAATTCTGGATTATCTGCTTTACAGACTGTGGAAGAAATCAAGGCTCTTCAGGTGCGTCACTCGAATACTACCTTAGGAATTGACTGCTCTGGCAACCAAAATTATGGTAAAGTATTATTTCTCCTCACTGAGATTTACAAAATATTCCTTAGTCATATATTTGTAATATGAGGATTTTCTGGGTTTTTAGGAATTTGGAGAAATAAAAATGCGTTAATTACTACGCATTAGGACTAAGATATAATTCTAAATTTTCCTGAAAGGAGCAAATACCTAAATTAAACACAAAAATAGAATGCTTGGCCTAAAGTTAAGATTTTTATATCAAATATCTTGGCCTTGAAAAAAACATGTGTAAAAGAAAAAGCTACTTATTTTTTTATATGAGTAAAAATGGCTAACCAAATATTTTTGCCAGAAAATATTATGCAAGTCTGGAGATGGCAGAGAGGTTTATACATTAACGAAATCTCGAGGTTTGCATAATATTATTTTGGTAAAATCGGCTAATCCGTACTGTTTAATAACATTAGATTTGGCTACATCTAATATCAATATTTAGAAAATAATAATATTTGAATAAATATTTTACAAGATGATATTGCATATCTTTTTTAGATATGAAAACATGTAACGTCATCGAAACCTTGATTGGCAAACGGCAGCAGATTTTGTTGGCTACTCAAATGGTCAAAATGATCCTTAAAATTGACGATATTCGCACGAATGATGCAAGAATGTAGAAACTAGACATTTATTCATATTTTTCCATTTAAAAGCTTTTATTTGTATATTTGTACTCTTTTTACTGCCGATACACGTTATTTGTTTATTCATCTTGCAAAATGAATAAAATATTTTGTTGATGCTAATTGTTATTTTCTTAAATTTTATTATTTTTAATGGATGGTAGATCGGGTGCCGACTTTTTTCTGCTAGGGCGTTTTTTTAAAGTGATTGGCTGATAGAGGCCTATCGAATTCCACACTACTAAAAAAAATTGGTGGCAACCTAATATTATCTTTATTAATTTATTTGAAACAACTTTTTGAATTGAAAAGAAGTCTTTGGGTATAGTCCGTTTTTCAAAAAGAATGTTTATATGTTGTATATTTATATGGGTTCTAATATTCCATTTTTAAAAGATAAGTATTTATTTATTGTTTTTTATATAATATAAAATTAAATGTATAAACATTTGAACTATCCTCTTTATTTTAGGCTGTGTCCAAAGTATAAAAAAATTTAATCGCGCAATTTGCGCAAATCTAGCGAAAAAAAAAATTTTTAATGGAAAATTAAAATTTTGGCCTAAATCATTTTTTGGTATTTATAGAAATTTGAAAAAATCATTTAGGTCAACATTTTAATTTTCCATTAAAAATGGCTTATATTTTTTTTTCCGCTAGATTTGTGCAAATTGCGCGATTAAATTTTTTTGATACTTTGGACACAGCCTTAAGCAAGGTTTTAACACTTTCCTTATCAGCGGTACGATTATGCCAGGCCACACGTGTTCTCCTTAGGATGGCTATAGATTAATATGATGAATGAATTATTAATATCAATAAGTTACCGAATGTTTAATAAAAATGATCGATAGTTAGTTATCTTATTTCTTAAAAAAAAATAGGAAATTGATATATATATATTTTTTATGCTAAAATTTAAAAAATTAATGCTCTAATAAGAGCTTTTAAATTTATATATACAATAAAATATCTTAGATTCTTCAGTAAATTAAGTTCAATCTGCCGACTAATTATCAATGATATAATTACTAAACTTAGATATAGTTTTATTGCAGAGTGTATAATTTTTTTAGACCATATCAATATATAAAAAATTCGATTTTAGCATATTCATAATTGTAGGCCCATGAAGTTGATAAAACGACTTGAAGCAAACCTTATGCCAATATTTAGTGCATAATTTATGCCTAAATGATCTTTAAACCAGACTTTAGAGAATCAAAGGTTAATGAGTTACAAGCAAAATATACTACTAGCAAAACAACTTTAAGCATAAATTCCAAAATAGTTCATAATTTGTGCCTTGATTTTCAAACAAGACATTGGAAGAAATACCGTTCTTTAGTTATAAGAAATAAAAAGATTTTAGCACTGTCAAAATATACAAATAGAGCAATTGTTTTCTAATTCGGGCAAATATTTAGTGCCTTAATTGTGCCCTCCATATTCTGAAAACGCATAACATACAGTATAATTTGTGCCTTAATGATCCTCAAACCAAACATTGGAAGAATTAACTGTTCGTGAATGTGATGTGAGATTTTGGTATTATGTCAAATTAAAAATATAGCCATCGTTTTCCAATTTAGGTTAGATACCTTAATTGTGCCTCCATATTCTTAAAATGGAATATTAAAAAAGTAACCGGAAGCGAGTTATAGGTTAAATAAGAAAGTGGAAGAATGACTCCAGGCACAAATTATTTATATAGCTAATAATGTCTATTTAAAAAATTTATTAAATATCAATATTTTTATTTCACAATATTGCATATTTTATAAGTTTGCTTGGAAAATACATGATAATAAAGACCCAAACCAACTATTAATATAATTTTTAACGTTGGGTGGGCAGGTGGTAAAATTTTTAGATAGGCAGTCGGGATTATTTTCATGAAAAAACTATGGTAGGACGAATGTGCTAAAATATTTAAGACGAGTAGGCGAGCTTGTTGGCTAAAGCTTGCCAACTAAAGATCTCAATCATGTCCCTTTTTATGATATTTAGATAAACATTTAAAATGATATAACCTATATTTATTTATACTAGATATTAGAGATTTGCAAATCAGGGCCCGGCCTGAGCCCGAATCTATTAAAAAGTAATTTCGGTTCGGGCTGGGTTGGACCTAAAATTGCTAAATATGAGATATCATTATATTTTACCAAATATATTGAGATATTTAAAATTCTTGCAAGATTCAAGGCGCTAATATTTTTTATTTGCAAATTATTTTTTTTACATTAAAAAAAAGGAAATTTTTTTTCCTAATATAAAAATTACAAGGGCGAACAAATATTTTTCATTTCACGGGTCATGCTATTTGGGACAATCAAAATAATTCCGTTCGAGATCAGACCAGACAAATTTTAAAAAAAAATTGAGACCAGTGGCGTAGCTAAGAATTTTCCTATACATACCTTCAGTCCTTTTGCCCCGACTTCGGCCGGGTTTATCTTAAAAAGCATATTTGTTTTTCTTATAATATAAAAGTCCTAGAATTATTGATCATTTTAATTAGTGTTGTTAAACGTATCGATTTGAGCCGAACAACTGCTAACTCAATATTTTAGAAAATTTGCTCAAACCTAGAGATTTCACGAATAATGTCTAAACCTTTGTATCATCCATGAGAAAAATTTTCAGAAGTTATTTTAATTTAGTAGATTTTTCTCAATGACTTTATAATAATACTATCCAGAATAATTTAAATAGTAATATAATATCCTTCCACTCAACGGAAAAATAAAAATATTCATGGTATTTATTTAATATAAAGTCACTTTTGAGTCTTTTGAACATATAATCTAAAAAAAATTTGCTCTGGGGGGGAGGGGTCCAAACCAACCCTTCCCCCCGTATCTACGCCACTGATTGGGACCAGACCGGGCTTGGGAAATTAGGCCCGATGCAGATCACTGTTTGATATAACTGCTTAACAATTATTTGACAACGTAAGTTTTAGTTAATGGTTTCCTTAGAGGGAGCAGTAGATTTTTGTCAATTTTATTCTCTTTTCAATAAATTATATTAAGAAAAAATTCCATTTAAACTAAATTTTAGCTAGAATATCCTTTTTTTAACTAAAGCATTCAAGAAATTTTGAGAAAATGAATTATAATTTTACGAATTCAAAAATTAAATTTTGACTCCTAACCTGATTTCTTAAGGTAATCAGCCTAATTTCATTTTTTTATGAAATTGATAAAATCTATTATTATTTACTACTAATAAAACTATTTGTCATAATTTTCAGGCAACGAGAAAATACCAGTTATAAATAATTATAATAATTGATTTTATGAAACTGATAAAAAATTATTTATAAATTTAAAAAGGTGTTTTTTTACAATAAAAATTTTTTTTTTAAATGTATACCCCGACGTCACTGGGTCTGTAATATTTTACATTATTATTTATATATACACATTGTTCACCTCTCTCACCAAAGATCTCTTTTTTTTTTAAATAATTTGGTTATTTGTATTTTTCTATCTTTATATTTATTTTTTGGGACATTTCTTTTAAGGCTTTTACAAATTCGGAAGAACTGGAGTGTCTATTAGTATCGTACTCTTTTATTTCTTTCCCTTTCAAAATAACTGATCCCTTTTTAATTTTCAAGTAATCGATATCGCAAATTCTTTCGTACGCTTTATTCAATTCGTCGTAACACGTCAGCATTAAATCGGATCGGAGCTCTTTTACAAAATGCCCAACCTTTTCTTGAAATTTTTCGTTGCAGAATTTATATATTTCGTTTCCGGTTATTTTTGGACGATATGTGGTAAAATTAGGTGGTACGATTTCTACATCCAAACGATCGTCGGGTTCGTTATGGTGATCCATATGAATTTCATCATTATTTGCGATTTTTTCTTGACGTACAGTATTCTTGTTAACATAATTTCGTTCATTGCAAATTTTATCGATTTTGTTTGCAGTTAATTTTAGATGATTATTAGATAAATTATTATTCGAAATCATTCCTACACGTAAGCGATCATCAGGTTCATTATGTCGATCCTTAGAAACTTTAGCATTATTTATAATATCTTCGTGTATAATAACATAATTTCTAACTTTGTCTTGACACCCTTCATTGCAAATTTTATCTATTTTATTTGCAGTCTTTAGACTATTATTAGATAATTTATTATTTGAAATCATTCCTACACGGAAGCGATCATCAGGTTCAATATGAGGATCCTTAGAAATTTTAGCATTATTTATGATATCTTCATGTATAATAACAGAATTTCCAACTTTGTCTCGACACCCTTCATTGCAAATTCTATAATTATTAGTTAAATTATTTGATATGATTCCTACGTCTAAATGATTCTCAATTTTCTGGTAGTGGTCCACAGGAATTTGCCGATTATCTATGATTTCTCGATTTGTAAGATTATTATTATTATTATTAATATTATAGGATTTTAAAAATTTTATAAGCTCCGAAAGATGATTTTCAGAGTTAGGGCTTTTCAAATAGGTGTTATATTCAATATTATAAGGGTTTTCTTTTGTTATATTAATATTTTTGTATAGCATATCTTGGTGAAGTGATACTAGATTTTTATCATATTTAGGTGATTGGTGAATAAACTTTTTCTTATCTATTTGTAATTTTCTTTGCCGGGACCTATTCATAAACGATGACTGATCTAAAAAACGATATATTTCATATATTATATAAATTAATATGAAAACCTCTGGCATGATTATGGTTGTCACAAATATGGTTACATTTTAAAAAAGAGTTGTCTTGAATAAAGTTAATTCTGGCCGGACAATTTTCTTTTCTGCGTCGTTTTTCTATAAAAAAAATATATATAAATTTAGTATAATATATTTAAGTCTGGTATAATTTTAAAAGAAAATTCGGGTTAGGTCAGGCTTAAAAATAAAATTATAAAGCTTAGATAAGACTGGTGTAACCTATGCAAAAGTACTCTAGCTAAAAAAAAGGTAATTATCTACTAGTGTATTTTAAAGGGTTTAGGTCATTTAGATAGTAATTAAACATCATTATGGTTATGGTATAAATAAAGGACGGTA